GAATCTAACCGTGTATTTAGATTCTTAATTTTTGGTTCCGTTTTCAAATTGGTCTACATAAACGTCCAAAGGTTCCAAAATTAAACTTAGTTTGATTTTAACAAAAATTGAATTTTTAGGGTTCTTTGATATGCTGAATCTAAACATGTATTTAGATTTTTGATTATGGGCCCAGTTTTCAAGTTGGTCCAAATCGGGGTCCAAAATTAAACTTTGTTTGATTTCAACAAAAATTGAATATATGGGGTTCTTTGATATGCTGAATCTAACCATGTATTTAGATTTTTGATTTTTGGGCCCCCTTATCAACTTTGTCCACATTGAGATCAAAAGGGTCCAAAATTAAACTTTGTTTGATTTCATCAAAAATTGAATTCTTGGGGTTCTTTGATATGCTGAATCTAACCATGTATTTAGATTTTGGATGTGGACCATAATAGGTGAATGTCCAATTTAAAAATTTTAAGTTCTTAGACCACATTCATTCTGTGTCAGAAACCTATGCTGTGTCAAATATTTAATCACAATCCAAATTCAGAGCTGTATCAAGCTTGAATGTTGTGTCCATACTTGCCCCAACTGTTCAGGGTTCGACCTCTGCGGTCATATCAAGCTGCGCCCTGCGGAGCATTTTATTGCCTATTATCTTGAAAACTGTAATAGATAGATAGAAACATTGAATAGCACAAATGATCAGCAAGACAAGATCTACAAATGTGCCGAAATGGCTGAAATCTTCAGTCAACATGTTATTTGAGTTATTGCCCTTAAATAATAATTTTTATGCATTATTGCCTCTTATCTTGAAAACTATAATCTATAAATAGAAACTTTAAAAAGGAAAAATTAACAGCAGGATAAGATCTACAAACATGTCAACATGACTGAAATTGTCAGTTAACTCTTAATAGAGTTATTCCCCTTAGATGATTTTGACAAAAAAGTTGTCATAATGGAAGATGCAGGTGAGCGACACCGGCTCTTTAGAGCCTCTAGTTGCTTCATGTACATGTACTACTTTAGATTATTTCTTATGATGCTACAGCCAAACTGTGTCATTAAGGGTAAGCAAATGATTTCATTTTCTGAAAACCTTTTATTAAAGGTCCCATTGAATAAACTTCACAGAGAACAATAGCTATTGTATTTGTACAACGGGACATGTGAACTTGCAAAAATTTAAATAGCCTGACAAAGAGGAAATCATTCTGGGGAAAGGTTTCATTTCTTTCTCAATAAATTTTAATAATGGGATTAGCAATGGTATCATACATCTTATTTTTATTTTTCAATGAATTTACAGGTCCAAATATGCCCCAAAATGTACATGTACATGGTCTTCTTTAGGATCTATTTACCAAATACTGCAATCAAAGTTATTTCTTTCTTTATGTTCTATTTTTACGTGAAACTGAAAGTGACATTGTTTTTGTAGAATAACACCTTCTAGCAATTAGACATGTTAGTAAACACATGTATTTTACAATATAGTACATTTTGTACATGGTTACAAATTATAACTACATTATGTTGCCCTCTCATTTATTTTTAACTGTGTTGCAATTTTTCTGATGTTTGATGAATGACAACTAAATATAATTTTGCACAGAAACAAAAGGAAATTTTATTATTACTGTGAAGCAGAAACCCAAAAATAAAATGAAGTAAAAAAAGGCATTAAGTTTATTCTTTATCATTCTAGATGTGTTAATCAGTTAATAATGGGAGTCTGTATCCTTAAAAGCAACACCATGTGTGATATTTATTACTGTGACCTATAGTTGCTTTAATCTGCTTCACTTGAATTTTTTATTTACTACTGTTTCATTAAATTTGTAATTGTTTTAATTATACCCAAATCATTGTCAGCAGTTTCTTTCTATTGGAAAACAAACATGTTTAAACATGTAGTTTAGATCTTATATCATATTATAAATATGGTTGATTGACTGATTTGTGTTTAAAGCCATTTTCAGCACTTTTGGCTATGTTATGGTGGTCAATTTTTATTGATGTAGGAAGCCAGAGTGCCTGGAGAGAACCACCAACCTTTGGCAGTAAAATGATAAACCTAGTCAATTAAGATTGGAGTTGAATGCACCTACCACATGCTGGGTTCAAACTCACAGCCTCAGTGTTGACACTCATATTATAAACACATGTATACAATTTCCATTTAAATGAATACAAACCATTTAAAAATAGCATTGAAATGCATTATCTGATTACAAATCAGCAAGTTGTCCTCTATTATTGAAAATAAATATTGTAGATATTACCGGTATAACATTTAGTATAATTTCCATATTAAACATGTTTCCATTTAATAAAATACAAAGCACCACTGGGACTGCTATGTGTTTAACAATGCATTTGAATGTTTAACATCTGATTACTAATTTGCATGTATAGTTATATTCCCCAAATAAGTCTTGAGGCTAGACAAGTTTTCATTATCTGTATATTTTAATTTGATAAATATTCTATTCAGCTAAATCTGTTGATGAAATTGCAGACAGTAAAAATGTATTTTATCTTACATTTAGAATAAGAATACAACATACAATGACATAATTGTGTTGATTTTTAATTGTATTTAAAATTAACTTTCAATGATATTTTTACACCCAGTATAATTGATATGTAGACAACTGTGTACTATAAGATTATAATAATCTTCTGAAGTAGCATCAAAAGTTAAAGGATCTTTAGAGAAGGATGTAATGTTGATACATTAACCATATCTCAAATTGCCTAGTCTTTAAGGGTTAATCCATTATCCATTTAAATCAGTTTTGAGACAGAAAAAAATATTGATAAATAAGTTCATTATGGCTCTATACATTAATATTTGATTGTAAATTATAATATTGATCTGGCCAACATGGTGATGTGATGAATGAATATTGATCAGTGTGGGGAGGGTGTAGTAATAGCAAATCAATACACTGTTTGTACTACACTGTATTCTCTTTATTGTGGTCATTTTAACATCTCATGGTAAGACATTCATTACTCAATTTGACATTAAGTCACATTTTTAACAATTTCATATGTTCTTTTTTTTTTAAGCTCTGAAGCTGATGTTTACTACATGTACCTCAAAGCTGCATGGCTAATTGTTCTTGCTTGTAATTTTTTCCAATTTCAACAAGTATAGCTTACAGTTATGTTTATTGGGTAATTATACCTGTTCTAACAATTGGTGATTAGTTACAGCAGTATTTAGTGGGAGGTTTGACTTCTAGTCTTATTGATTATCCATTTAGAGTTATGTTTGTATTAATCAACTTTCCAATCAGATTTTCTTGTTAAGAGGTCCTCTGATATTGGTCAGACATATTAGCATTTGAATATAATGGCTGTCTGAGTGTCAGTTATGTGAATTCTTTAACATATGGTAAGACTAGAAGCATGTTAAGGCAGTATAGTATGAGCTTTAGTTGTTAGGTGCAATCTATATTTTTGTCAAAGCAAAAAATAAGATGAAAAAAGGTACATTGTGTACATTGTATAAGCAGTAGATACTGGATATATATCGGGTTATTTTCATGTCAGGAGTTTTGTTTGCAGTTAAGGCCGTTGAAGGAACAATTAAATTATTGCTGTATTCATTATACACATTTATAGACCTTGTAAAGTGCTTGTGAATGGATAGTAATTCTAAAAATAGCGATAAAGCATTACATAAATTATTGCTTTAAAGCATCTGCTGAATCAAACTTCAACTCAGTTGACTTTTAAGTCATCAAAGGCCAAAATGTCTGCTGGTGGACTACATTGTTTTTTTCAATGTCACTTCCTCTGTTGGTGGACTACTAGTCCTCTAAGGTTAATACTTCTGCTGATGGACCACTAGTCCACAATGGTCAAAACTTCTGCTGGTGGACTACTAGTCCTCAATGGTTAAAACTTCTGCTGGTGGACTTCTAGTTCTTAAAGTTCAATTACTGTCAATATATTTCCTGATGGACTACTTAGTATTAGAGGTTAAACCTGGTCTTGTAGATCATTACATTATAGTGCTTGCTGAAATATATTGATGCTGTTTAAGGATGTTCGCTCCTCTGTTTCAAAATAACAAGCTTTTAAAAAGCATAAACAAATGAAAGGTCCGGGTCCTTGTTTTTGAGATAAACTCAATTGAAAATTTGGCGGGAAATGATTCTCTCTAGATTTTTATACATTTAACAATTGACACCTTTTTTCTTTCAAAAACTATTAAAAAATAACAAGGATTTTATTAGATTTTCAAAAATGGCTTTTTAAACTATACCTAATAATATTATGAAAAGAAAAAGTAGGGGTTAGCAGGCAAAATTTGTATTGGCACTATACATGGATAAAACTAGAGGACTCCGAATATCTGACAAAAAGTCCAAAAACAAGAGTAGTGAACATCCTTAAAGTAATTACAACATGTATGAAGACAATGAGAAATATAAGTTGTGAATTCATTGATGAACTCCCTTATGTATAGCTTTGGTTCCTAAGCTAGCTTTCTAAATTTGTTGGTCCTTTTCTTAGTTTCAACTCTTCAACATTTGTTGGATTAAAAAAAAAATCGGGTCTCAAACGTCACTGTAAACCCATTATTTGTGGAAGTGAGCATCTTGTGTGTCAGTACTGTTCAATTATTTTGTATATATTTTATTATTGACTACTTAATTATTTATGATAAAAAAGTATTATATTTAGAAATGTGATTTTCCGTAGTAATTTACATCCTTATAGGTCATTGTTAATGTGCAAATGATGTGAGATAAATCAAAAGAAAAGGAGTTGACTAAATAACTTAAAGAATTTTTGTAAAATTTTTCTATAATTAGGCAGTAATGAATGAGTATTAATCAAGTTTGATACAAAATACTAAGAAACAGTTGGAGATAAATTCAAATATTAGTTACTGAATATTTTCCAAATATTTCTCATATTTTGAAAATATTTTTATTTCTTATATGCACAACTACTAAAACATGATATTTGTATTTTCTTTTCAGATGGGTGTCTAGTTTAGAACCTCAAGTGAATCACAATGTCTAACAGTTCTCTCAACGTGCCCTGTGATGTCCTGACTGGGAGAAACCATTCCACACCCTATGGCAGGCTCAATGATTTCTGGGACTTATATAATGGTGTACCCTTCAATCTCACTGTCAATGTTGCTGGATTTCTGGTAAGAAAAATGTATAAATGTGTTATGCACCAGTATATTTAAGAATCATGTACAATCTTGTTCGCCTATACACATGAAAAATTTTCAGCAACTTATGATGACTCAAAATTTAAAAGTGTAATGTACATGAAAAATATTTATTTTTTCATTTTTATTTTGTATTCATTACAATATAGGAAAGAGCATTGTTGAATTAAAAAAAAAAGAAAAAAAAAGCAATGATCATAGGTAAAACTGGACTGTTATTGGATACTTTCAATGGCTCAGTTTTATGAACATTTCATTCTATAAAATAATTTCCAGTACTTTGAAAAGTGCCTTTCTATTTTCTAGGCATTTTTCAAAATGCCTGAACCTTACAAAATGCCTAAATTTAGAAGATTCCTGTTACATATATGATATGATATAAAGCTTTATTTAAAAACGCTCTTGTCACATTTACATGTGAAAAAAAGAGGTAAACATTTACAAAATACAGTCTTATTTATATCCGGAAGATCATAGTAGAAAGAAATAAAACAACTCTAAAATAAAATATATAAATGATAAATAAAAAAAAAAAAAAAAACAATATAGGAAAAAATGCCCAATTTGATTCTCAATTTCTCACAATTGTATTAAAAGCTTGTTCAAATAACATTATGATTGGGTTAGAAAGCCTTTGACCCAGATAACCTTTATAACCTTTATAAAAAAGTTCCCCCTAAGAAAAACTTAACTGACTAATAATAATTACTAAATGGAAGTAACAAAAATGCAAGTTTCATTAAATTACTATTTAAGGAAATTAAATTTTGCAATAATTCATAAAAATCGTAAAAATTTCTGAATTTAAGGTCTATTTAAAACATGCAGAAAAATTCAAAACAGCATAAAATACAAATACATCAGTCAAATGAATATGATTTCCCCCCTACTTTTTCAGATTCTGTTACTCCTGTTTGCCCTTGTGAGAAAGATTGCCTGGGATTATGGTAGAATTGCTCTCGTCAGTAGGACAGAAGAGAAGTATGAACACCCCTTGTATAATGTCTGTTATATTACATGTGCTAATTTTATTGTCGTAACGTAATACACTGATAATATTATTTTATTTTTATTTCCATTTTTGTCCCCGGGTTACGCGTTGCTTGGGGCATGGAAATACTGGGCGTCCATCCGTCCGTGTGTCCGTCCGTCCAGTCTTGTTAGCACTCTCACAAGTACAATTCTTGCCAGATTTTTATAAAACTTATACTATAGGTTAATATCAGCAATATCTCGGACAAGTTCTATTATGGTGGACGATCTACTTTTTTTAAAAGAGTTAATACATTTGGAAATATTAAATTTATGGAAAATGGCCTCGTTAGCGCTCTCACAGGTACAATTCTTGCCAGATTTTTATAATACATACACTATAGGTTAATATCAGCAATATCTCGGACAAGTTTTATAATGGTGGACGATCGACTTTTATTAAAAGAGAGATGACCCTAGGAATTATTAAATTTATGGAAAATGGCCTCGTTAGCGCTTTTACGGGTACAATTCTTGCCAGATTTTATAAAACATATACTATAGGTTAATATGAGCAATATCTTGGACAAGTTCTATAATGGTGGACAATCTATTTTTTTTAAAAGAGTTATGACCCTTGGAAATATTAAATTTATGGAAAATGGCCTCGTTAGCGCTCTCACGAGTACAATTTTTTATAAAACTTATAGTATACTATAAGTGATGCCCTTGAAGGTCTGTTTGAAATATTTAGTATACAATAAAAAAAAAAAATTTGTCCTCCGCGCATGCTTTTTATTTATAAATTGTTTTAAAGAACAACAAAAAAAAAGTTTTTTTTTTTAGTTATTGCCCCTGGATGGATAAAATATGTGCCAAGCGGGGGACATTGGAACTCTGTTCTTTTATTATATTTATCTTTTTCTGTTTAAGTTTTTGGCATTCAATTAGATCACCATTGCCAAAAAGCAATCCTAAAAAATGTAAAGATCTGCTTATATGTACAAATATAAATTGTTAACAATTAAGTAGAAAATAAATAACTTGTGTTTAGGATTGTGTGTAGTACATTTCCTGTTGTTTTTTCTCCGATAAAGTATTTAAGTTGAACTTTTGCAGTTTGTATATATATTAAAAAATCGCTTGTTTGACTTTAGGTTTTACAACTGTTTCCTTTATAGATAAAGAATATTGATAAAATCATTTGTTAGAACATACATTCTATAAGCAAGCATTGCAACTGTTACCTATTTCATTTAAAGATATACATTGAGTTTAAATATAGTAGTTCTATTTATTTGATTTTAAACATTTTTACACTTGTTCTATGTTAGTTTTGTGGTTAATATTATTTTATCTGTTGTATTCAGTGAAATTTTCCATCCTATTTTAGATGAATCATATTAAAAATATTTTTTGAACTGTCGCTATGATTTTGAATTACATAAAAATTTTAAATGTGTCTACTGTGGATTCATTATTATACATGGGATACTAATTTTCATGGATTTAATGGGTATAGGTGAACCAAAAATATAAATGTTCAACTAAGCAGAAATTTTCTTAAGCTTTTATGCAAAGTTTGTTATGCAAAGTTTGTTAAAATCCAAGAAATCAAAATTCAACAAAAAGATGTTTTTTCCTTCATCCACAAAAGTTGGTACCCATGAAAATAAATGAATCCGCAATATATAAATTTATATAAGCCATGACTACTTCTCTCCCCTGAATTCCCAAATCACTAAGCTTTTTCCCTTTCACACTGAAAAGAAGCCAAAGGGGAGATAAGCACTCAAAAGGCAAAAATTTACTGATCCCCTCCCCTCCCTAACTTTAACTGAGAGAACCAGTTCAAAGAGAAATTTCACTGGATTTTATGTATATACATGTATGTGTGCACAGTATAGATTTATGTTGTATTTTTTATTTACCAGGTTAGATGAAAAGAAGGCCAAAAGCGATTACAATGTGTAGGAATTTTATTATTTATTAGTTATTATATTTTATATATTATAGTCAAGTATTTCATTTATATTGAATTATAGTGGAAAGAAACAGTAAGTTTATTATACTTTTCCAAGAGAAAAAAAAACACCATAAAAACTGCTGTTAAACCTAATTATAACAATGTTAAACACCTTGCTTATGAGCTTATAACAATTAATAATCAAAACATATGTATAAATATATAGAAATGGCTTGCTAGTGGGATACATGTACATGTACATTTGGCGGGAAAATCTGTCTACTGGTTGGAAGTTACTGCAGGCCATTTCCATTGACCAGTTTTCAATGTGGGAACTCTATTATATTATACTTCAGCTCACATATACTTTGGATTCATTAATTTTTGTTGGAGCCAAATTTGGTGTTTTCAAGGAAGCCAAATTTTTGATTATACCTCATTTGCTCCTGTCAAAGTATTAAAGGCTGTTCCATAAAAAAACATATAAGGGATCCAGGGAAAGCACTTTAAATCTCGACTATGGGTTGGTGTTTGTACAATGAGAATGCTAGAGAAATTCTAAAATTGCCTCTCAAGAGGGTTGTACTATTTTCATAGTGGATTTTCTGGGTACCATGTATGTTTTAATGGAACAGCCCTAATTTGTTATTTGTATTTCATAGAGTATTTAAATTTGGGATTTCCATCTACCAAAGATATCCATAAAATTTGGTATACCACATATATTAATGAATCCAATGTACTCACTGCTTATTCAATGGAGTATTTATAATCTCACCAGAAATTTAAGATGCAATAAAAGGCAAACTTCATAAGTTAAAAATCGTACTGTCATGACTATAATAGGTTTGCCATGTTTGTTTTAAATACTGGTACGTAGATGTTTTTTTCTTTTTTTCTTTTAGAAGTACAAATAGGGTTTTAATTGGGCCCCTACCTGAATCAAAGCACTTGTTTCTATAAAAAGTTTTAAAATTGTTCTGTTAGATATACAAAAAGCTTGGAATCACTCTTATTATTTAAGTCAGTGTTTCTAAATTGAAAAAAATATTCTCATAATCAGCAATCCATTTTTTTTTAGCTCACCTGGCCCTATGGGCCAAGTGAACTTTTCTCATCACTTGGCATCCGTTGTCCATTGTCCGTCGTCGTCCTTTAACTTTTACAAAAATCTTCTCCTCTGAAACTACTGGACCAAATTTAACCAAACTTGGCCACAATCATCATTGGGGCATCTAGTTTGAAAAATGTGTCCGATGACCCAGCCTGCCAACCAAGATGGACGCCATGGCTAAAAATAGAACATAGGGGTAAAATGCAGATTTTGGCTTATATCTTTGAAACCAAAGCATTTAGAGGAAATCTGACCGGGGTGAAATTGTTCATCTGGTCAAGATCTATCTGCCCTGATATTTTCAGACAAATCAGACAACCCATTGTTGGGTTGCTGTCCCTGAATTGGTAATTTTAAGAAAATTTGCAGTTTTTGGTTATTTTCTTCAATATTATTATAGATAGAGATAAACTGTAAACAGCAATAATGTACAGCAAAGTAAGATCTACAAACAAGTCAACATTAGGGTATCTAGTTTAAAAATATATGTCCGAACATAGATGGGTAAAATGCAGATTTTGGCCTATATCTCTGAAACTTAAGCATTTAGAGCAAATCTGATTGGGTAAAATGCTCATCAGGTTAAGATCTATCTGCCCTGAAACTTTCAGACAAATCAGACATCCCGTAGTTGGGTTGCTGCCCCTGAATTAGTAATTTTAAGGAAATTTTGCAGTTTTTGGTTATTATTTTGAATATTATTATAGATAGAGATAAACTGTAAACAGCCATAATGTTCAGCAAAGTAAGATCTACAAATAAGTCAACATGACCAAAATGGTCAAATGACCCCTTAAGGAGTAATTGACCTTTATAGTCAATTTTTAACAATTTTTTGTAAATTTTTGTAATCTTTTACAAAAAATTTCTTCTCTGAAACTACTGAGACAAATTTAACCAAACTTTGCCACAATCATCATTAGGGTATCTAGTTTACAAAATGTGTCCGATGACTCCGCCTACCAACCAACATGGCCGACATGGCCGACATGGCTAAAAATAGAACATAGTGGTAAAATGCAAGTTTTTTCTATTATTTTTTGAAACGTTATAAATAAAGAAAATCTGAAAGGAGCAAAAATGTTCAGAATAATGAGCTCTATGAATTGTCCATATACGTCAAAACTGTTAGACAAATTCTTATAGGAGTTATTGCCCATAAATTTTTCATTTTTGCCTATTAGTATTACCATGTAAACTATGAAATTTAGAGAGAAACATTTTTTTTCTGTTATGCCTTATATGATTTAAATTATAAAAGATAAATAGACACTTTAAATCACAAAAATGATCAGCAAGGCAATTTCTATTAAAAAGTCAAATTTTGCCAATATAGTTAGTAGACTGTCACTCTTCATAGGAGTGATTGCCCTTAAATGAGGATTTTTTTTACTCTCTTTTGTGTTTAAACTTTTGAGCTAAAACTTAAAGATAGAGAGAAACTAAACAGACTAAAAGATCAGTAACACGAGATCAACAAAATAGAGATATTTGTCATGAAGTCTATTCTCGTCTACAATGTTGGAGAGTGTCCTTTGTTTGATATGCACATAGACCAAGGTGAGCGACACAGGCTCTTTAGAGCCTCTAGTTTCTTTACTATTTTGGAAATGATGTTAAACCTCAGGCTTTCCTGAGTTCTGCTTGAGCAATAATGATATCAACAATTCTGACTTTAAAGTACATTTGATCAAATGTTTTGAAATTTGAACACAATGTCTTGGACCATAAAATACAAGTCAATCTCAATTTTGACAGTTTTGATATTTAACTTTATGCCTCTTACTTAAAATAAAAAAATCGGATTTTTTTTGGTTTCCAGATGTATTTAAAGTACTTCTTTACAAAATGTTTTAAGATTTTAACACAATGACTATGTCATGATCTATGATATACAGGTCAAGTTTAATTTTGATACCTTTAGCATTTAATATTCAAGAGTTATGCCCTTTGGTCCTTAATTATCTTTTGGTTTCTGGATTATAACTCTGATAAGACAGAATCTTTAAAGATTTTAAAACAATGTTATAATCCATAAAATACACATTATGGTCACATAATTTTCGTGTTTATAAAGCTTTTGTAATAAGGCCACTTACAAGAAATTAGGTTAACACATGTCAGGTTTATGCAATAACAGTGTATAGAAATAATTCTGTGATTAGCTGAAACTAGTTGCTATATTGATTAACTATTGTTTTTCGCTTAAATGCTACATCTGTCTGAAATATAACACTTTTGGTTTATTTTGTACATTATTAGGTACAGCTGTCAAAAGATATTATTTGTTCAATAAATTTGTCTAATGACTGATGCAAATTGAATCTGTTTAAAGTTTTGAGGGTTTTTACTTTAATGCAAAATGCAAAATAAAATCAATCTTGACAGATCTTTCATCACATGCTACTCTTTAGAGTAATTCTTAAGGATGTTCGCTTCTCTGTTTCAAAATAGCAAGCTTTTTAAAAGACGGGTATAAATTGAAAGAATATAAATTACAGAACTAAAAGGCTAGAAACAAAATGGCAAGTGTCTGTCCTTGTTTTTGAGATATAAACAATTGAAAATTTGACGTGAAATGATTATCTCTAGATTTTTCATATACTGACGGACTTTAAAAACGCAACACATACTTTGGTGATTTTTTTATACCAAATCATGATTGATCCTCATATAACTACTATTCATGCTTACCATATTTCTTTCTGTTTAGAAAAATTCAATACCTGACGCACAAAAGGTTATTGAACATACCAGATTATTGAAGTTGCACGAATTTCTTATAGGGAACTTTGAAACCAATAAACAATTTTTTATGCCCCTGCCTTAGCGGATGGGTCATTAAGGTTTCCCCTTGTCCGTCTGTACGTACTTTAGTTTGCCTTTACCAAATGTTATGAAACTTATACACAATGCTTATTACCACAAAACAAAGATCAAGTTTGAATTTTGGTGACGTCACTTTTACCGTTCTAGAGTTATGCCCCTTTACAAATGGAAAAATTGCTGATTTTTTTGTTTCTGTTCTCTAACTTAAGTTAGCCTCAATCAAATATTATGAAACTTATACACAATGCTTATTACCACAAAACACAGATCAATTATGAATTTTGGTGGTGTCACTTTTACTGTTCTAGAGTTATGCCCTTTACAAATGGAAATATTGCTGAATTTTTCGTTTCCGTTCTCTAATTTTAGTTTGCCTCAACCAAATATTATGAAACTTATACACAATGCTTATTTTTTTAAATTTTCTTCGTGAAACAATTCTTTCAATCCATACCCACACTTAAATCAGTAAAAAAATGATGCTTCTCCATATTGCCGAGACTAAGCAATGAAAATCTAAATTAGGCCATAAGAATATTGCAGGCAGGAATACGTGAATGTGCTGTTGCCAGACAATTTCACATCATAAACTCGTCTTACTGTCTTTAAACAACTGTACAGACAGACAGGATTTGTTGATGACCTTCCATTACAGGATCAATATGTAGTGACAATGCCACGTCAATAAAATTTGATTTTGCAACGTCATTTGTGAGACATGTTTACAGTCACATCGTCAACTGGTAATCAAGTTTCCGAATACCATAGGCAGAAAGATTCACGACAAAAATGTTTCCCATATACCATTGGCATCTCTTTCTTTCAAAAACTGAAAATAACAAGCTTTTTACAAGATTTTCAAAAATGACTTTTTTTCAACTATATGTAGTAGAATTATGAAAAGAAAAGTAGGGGTTCGCGGGGCAATTTTTTTTAATTAGCATTACATGGTTAAAACTAGAGGATTCCCAATATCTTGACAAAAAGTCAAAACAAGAGAAGCAAACATCCTTAAATGAATTTGATTGGGTTTTATTAATAAAAGCTTTGTAGATACAATGAAGAAATGTGTAAAATACAATGGTATTTGTTATACTCGTTGTAAATTCATAATTCTTCTTGTAGCATAAATATTTTGTGAATTTCAAGGAGACAAGTCATAGATTTAAGAACTTTAAGTTAAATTTGCTTTAAAAGGTGTCAATGACACAGCGAAAGTTAATATTGTTGTAAAACCTCTTAAATTGATACCTCTTCGATTAAATTGATTTCACAGGAAGTGTTATATGAATGTCAAGTTGAAGCAAATTAAAAGTGCCTTTCAGTTTTTTTTTTGCATACTGAAAGATCTAACCTAGATGGATACAAATACACCAAAGCATATTGGAGGTTGCAATGCTGATATTTATTCTAAAAGCTCTTGTAATTTACTTGTAGTAATGGTCCTGAGACTCATTCAAAAATGATCTTATGATTTAAAATTGATTGTAAGTTACTGTAAATTCAGAAATTTGTGTGTGCATTTATTATTGTGACTCCTTGACCTCTGGCAAAAATTCAAAATCAAATTAAGGCGATTGCAATATTTTTATGAAGGAAAATCACTACTGAATGTGAGTTATTTTCATTGCGAACATGATTCTATTGCATTTTTTTCGAATTTATTAAAGCATTGCAATAATTTCTGAATTTACAGTACCGGTATACTGAAATGTTCATGACATACAAGCATTTTTATGTGAAAAAAGACTGATATTTAAAGTTTATATAACTAAGATGAGACTCTTTTATTTAAAGTGTATTTTGTTATATTGAAATGTCTTAGCTTAAGCCAATAGTGGTGAAAATGGTGTTAAACACAAACAAATAATCAATCAATCTTGGCTTTAGAATATAGTGTGGTTACATCTCACTGAAACACCCAACACATCAGTTATTTAAAAGGAAAATACTAAACTATACTAATTTTAGTTATTATATTATTGTAGATGGACCTCACTTTTTTATGGCGATCATGATGAAAAACCAAAGATTGGCTCACAAGAATCTTTGGACACACACATACATCTGCATGACACTGTAAGTTGTAAAATAAATAGGATTGGAATAATGAGAGATGCAGGATGTATAAATTAGACAGCAACCTGCCAAACCAGAAATGTATCTATATGCAATATATGATTTCAACAATAGACAAAGTGTATTTACTTTGTCAAGCTCTTACTGTTTTGTGTCAATATATGTTGTGAACATATGATAATATTAAAGATCTTCAGTCAACAACAAATATTTTTATGCCCCGCCGTAGTGGAGGAGTCATTAAAGTTTACCCTTGCTGTCTGTACGTCCATCCGTCCGTACCTATGTCCGTCCAAACGTCCCGAAATTGGTTTCTGTTCTCTAACTTTAGTTTCCCTTGACCAAATGTTATGAAACTTATACTCAAAGCTTAATACCACAAAACACAGATCAAGTTGAATTTGGGTGGCATCACTTTTACAGTTCTCTAGTTGATGTGCTTTTATTAAGTTATATGCAAGCTAGGGTATTGTCTGTGTCCCATTGACACATTGTCCATTTATCAATGTCTGAAATAGTAAGATATAAACAAAGCATGACACCGTCATCAAAGTGCTTCACGTGAGACAGGTACATAAACATTGTTTTGTAGGAAGTTGAATTTCAAACATTTTCAAAAGGTTTAAAGTTATGTTATGATATTATCAGATTAAACTTGTTTTAAAAAATCCTCTATTATTACTCTTTCGATGCAGTATTTGGTCTTTTGTTTGATGAAATATCTGAACTCATGTTGATATTAATCATTCCATTAAAAAAAGAACATCTGAAAAGAATTTAAGATAAAAAGATTTTATAATTTAATGTCAGATGAGGTCTAAAATAATAGATTTATTATAATTTATATTTTTCAGCATTTCTTTGCTTGGATTACTGCATACTTTAAAGTCAAGTAAGTGTTGTAAGATTTTTTACGTAGATGTTGAATTTTATCATTCTTAATAAACTCATCATAGATATCAGGTTTAAAATTTTGTATGCCAGACACGCATTTCGTCTACAAAAGACTCATCAGTGACGCTCGAATCAAAAAGTTAAAAGGACCAAATAAAGTACGAAGTTGAAGAGCATTGAGGACCTGAAATTCAGAAAGGTTTTTCCAAATACAGCTAAGGTAATCAATTCCTGGGGTAGAAAATCTCAAGTGTAACCCCAAGGGTTAACAGGGGTTTAGTAATGTGTAAATTCCAGGGCCTCTATTCTGACAGTAAAATTTTGCCAAACTTTTGATGACTTTTAGCTGTGGCAGTGTTTTATTTAATAACCAAAGTAATACAGATGTGAATTAATTTGCTTGCAACTAATCAGTTCAATTTAAATTTAACAGAAAGTAACTTATATATTTGTTTTGTATAATACCGTATTGAAATCAATAAGACACAGGTGAAATAACTTGCTTCAGGTGATTTTGTCTTAGATTTACATGAATTCCACCTGAGCAGTTTTGATTAGATGCTGTTCTACAAAATCATGAAAGTTACTGCACTAAGAAATATTGTATTTGTTTGCAAGTGCAGTAACACATATAATAAATATTAATGTAAGAAAATGTTACAGTATTGTTCTTTTTCCAGAGGGATAAAATTAATTATTTGTCCCAGTCGCACTGCCGCTGAGGACATAGTTATAGTCTTAGTCTGTCCATCTGTCTGTTTGTAACACACAACACTTCTGAGATTTTTCCTGAAAGCATTTATACATGTACTTAGAAGGATTGTTTTTCCTCATGAGTACTTTACCACACTATATCCCTATAACCGCAGAGGGTTATGGGACTTTTACCCTTTTTGTCCTATTTAAGTACATTGAAACCATTTGAGAAATATTCCTCTGAGACCATTGAATTGAAAGCCAACATAGTATGCTTGATTATCGTTATGTTTAGTTAACAATGCTATAATGCAATTTTTATTTGACAATTTTTCCAGGAGTTATGGGAGACTCTTAAGACCTATAGTAGCTTGATTTTATGGGACTTTGACCATTCATTCCAAATATCCAAACTGTTAAAAGACAAACAACATCCTGGTTACGACAAGGACATTATTTAATTATTGTCAGTGTGTTTCGCCACTTAGAGTTGGGTCTTCAGGACAATTTAAAGATAGGAAACATTCACTTAAGTACATAAAATAAGGTTCATGTGGGGTTACAGAAAGGTTAACAGGAGGTGGTGTCACAAATATTGGTTTCACTCTAAAGGAGATATTTTTTCCAATTTTGTTGGAAATATTGTGGGATGTATGGTTGTTGATGTTGGAAATGATTTGAAAGATTCCATATAATATTTTTATCATATATTTCTCAGAGTACTTTCACCAACTTGTATGAATTTCTCAACAGGTTTTCACATTGGTCATAGGTTTTTATCACTTTGTAGAAAATTAATTTACTAGGTAATGTTTGATATATTGGGATCAATTATTTTATCGTTACAGAGATTCAGATATAGCACACAAGAATGGTCGAGATGCTATACAATATCTAACATTCCAGAGATATCTGATTATATATACAGCTATGATTACTGTATTGTCTGTAGTAGTTATACTCCCTATAAACTTCCAAGGGAACAACAGTAAGTACTTTCAAAGATTTGAAGTTTCCTACCAAGCCATCAAGATTCCTTTTTACAAATTATTTACAGTTGTGCCATTTGTATTTTTATGCCCCCGCCGCAGCTGAGGGGGCATTAAGTGTTACCCTTGTCCGTCTGTACGTCTGTCCATATGTACGTACGTCCCGAAATTGGTTTACGTTCTCTAACTTTAAGTTTGTCTCAACCAAATGTTATGAAACTTATACACAATGCTTATTACCACAAAACTCAGATCAAGTTCGAATTTGGGTGGCGTCACTTTTACCGTTTTTGAGTTATGTCCCTTTATAATGTTATATGCAAGCAGGGGCATCATCTGTGTCCCAAGGACACATTCTCCATTTATTTAATAAGCCATGATCCCCATTATCCAGGGGAAAAGCATCACCCTCTGAAATCATCTTTGTTTATATGATGGCTGCAAACATTAACCGGAGATATAATCTTCATACAATAGCCATTTATTTAGAGTTAAAGCCCTTTGACCAGTTTGAAGACAATAAAATTTGCTCCGATTATTTTACACGGTCTAGTTACTTTTTGTTTGTCAATAATCAAAATCCACAAGGGCTGACACAAGGGTATATGAGAACTAGACAATATAGTTTACATGTTTTGTTTTGTAGCTTTGATAGTGATAGGAAATCCTTTAATATGAACCCAGACATATTTTTAATAAAACATTGAAATATAATACTTGTCAAACAATTTGTTTTCACATGTACAGGTTTGGTCATAAGTATCAATGAAACATCAAATTAATATTGAACTTTGAAAAATTAGTACCCACAAATTAAAATGTGTCAGTAGTTTGTTTTCTTATGCAGGCTTTACCTAATTGCATACATGTGAATGTTTGTGTCTAAATACATGTTTTATTATTCACCACAATGCAAAAAATACTGTCTGATACCACACAAAATGTTGTTAAATTGAATAACATGTTTATAATTAAACTTTGAATACATGGTAAATATTTCAAAATTTTTTTCTTTATTTCTTAGTTGGAAGTGATAAAGATCTTGGTCATACAACTATTGGCAACTTAGATCCAGAGTAAGTAACTGTGATTGTTTTTAGTTAATAAAGAGGACTTTCAAGGCTATCAGAGTGGATGACGTCTGCCTTCCAGATCCCTTCATCCTATCACTACTGTGGCAGGAGAATGAATCTCACTTAAAAAAGAAAAAACAACTAAAAACCAACTGAGTCCATGCATAGATATTCAATGATTTGTTTAGAAGAGACTTTTTAAAATTTATTATTCTATGCCTTTAAGCTTTTAAGATCATGAAGGACTATTTCATATGGAGAAATTTGATTTAAGGATACTGTGGATTCATTTATTTAAGTGGGTTACAATTTTCGTGGATTGAGGAAAACTTGCATTTTCGTGGATATTTGATTTTGTGGTGTTGACAATCTCTGCATACAAGGCTTATAGAAAATTTGTCATTCGTTGAACATTTGAATTCGTGGTTCACCTGTTCCAATGGAACCCATGAAAATTGGTATCCAACGAATAATAATGAATCTACAGTATATGTTTTCTAATCTTCTGTGTACACTTAGTTTTATGGATATCAGATGTATAAAAAATTAAAAAAATCACATTTTAAATTTTGATAGCATCATTTGTATGCAGCATTTCCTGAAATCACAATACTAGAAATTAATCTCAGATTTTTGTTCATTCTTCACCAATCTTAACAATATAGGCACACACAAATTTCTGAATTGACGGTAACTGATTAATTTTTTTAAAATTTTTTCAGCTCTAAGTACTTATGGGTACATGCAATCCTAGCAGTGGTATATTTAATCATCTTGGTGGCTCTGATGAGACATTTCTCTCTGAACTTAGATTTTACTAAAAATGAACAGGTAAGATTGTGTTCTGCAAAAAAACATGGTATCTCGATTACCAATACTAATTCAATTTATAAGGCCATGAAAAAGAATTTGTATGTTTTTGGTCCGTTGTTTGTTTTTTTTGTTCAAACTTTCTTGATTAAAACTGATACATATTGTTTTTATGTAAATATAGAATATAATTGAAATCTAGGTTATAATTTTGAACTTTGTTGTTTATAATTTGTCTTTGTTTTTAAAGTTTATTATATATATGAAATATTATGGTAACATTTTTCATCTTGTTAATCAAAAATAAGCCATGATTAACAATGTTTTGTTATCAAAATCTGAAGTTCTTGCAACTAATGCGAACAAAAATGTATCCCATGTTTGAAAGTTTCACACAGGCTAGAATATCTAATAATTACAATAGACAATGGAAAAATTTTAGTGCATGTAAAAAAAAATTAGCCTAATTTGACTTCCATTCCTGTGAACTGAAATTATTGTTAGTGGTTTTTTTTTTGTAAAATCTTGCAATTAGGAATACACATAAAATTTTTGTAAAGTGGCTGTTCGTCTTCTGTCAGTTTTTCTTGTTGTGAACATTTTGTATACCATAGTTGACAATGGTTATTTGACATAAGCCATTTTGTTTATAAAATTTATGATGAAAGTTATGAAGAGTAAAATTTTTAAAATGCCCTTTGATACTATTCCTCTATTCAAAATTGAAAAGTGCCTTCTACTAGACCAAACCTATTTTTAATGGATTTTCTATATGTACTTTTGTTGTAAAACACAAAATGATTAATGTTTGCATATTACAGGTATCTAGAACATTGATGGTGTCTCACATACCAAAGGATAAATGTTACAAGAACACAATACAACAACACTTTCAGTAAGTCTCTTTATTTTTTTTTTATTTTTTGCACCAAAGTAGTGAATATTCTGAAACTTTGTGACTGTTTATTTTGAATGAATTGATTTTTCTTAAAAAGATATCATATCATATTTCTGTACCAATTTTCTTAACATTTTTACCATTGAAAGCATAATTATTCATTGTTACTTTCTGGCGCCCTGTGCCCTTTTTAAGATGCCCTGGCCTTTTTCGCAAGTCCATTCCTTTATTGTTGTATTATTGATGAAAATACAATAATTCTACCTGTCCTCATGTTTCTGACAAGTTTATGACCCTCAGCTAAATAACATTTTGTGATTACAGGTAATCAGCTTATCGCCATCGGTTGGGTCACTATCTGTTAATTAAACCTCATAATTGACCATTATAATTATCGGTCAGTCGACATTTCAATTTCAATATTTTTCAAAAGGGACCACAGTTTGCAGTTTGTTTATCCATAGATGTTTTTGTAGTTTTGTCAATTGAATAAAATTGTTTTTCCCCGGATGGTTGGCATTTTATTTTTAAATTTCTCAAACGATCACTTATAGAAGCTCGAATGACATAGTTTCGTCATTTGAACCTATATTTTCCTCACATTTTATTTAACTTTTTATTATAATTTTCGACAATTTAGATTATAAAGATTAAAACTCAAAAATATTGTCAAGAGTCAAAATATGTGCTTTCTTTATCATGTACCGCACATGCATGAACGTATTTTCATAAATTTAATAGACACTAAAACGTAAAAAAACAAAATCATTTAGTATCAAATTAAACTAGGGAGATAAATATATTTCTTACTGAGCAACTTAATTTTAAGAAATGATCATTTCCTGCCTTTTTGTTAAACACAAACCAATCCGTAGATGAATCCGGACTCATTCTAAATTTATTATCCTCTTGTCACTTCCTGTTTCATTTTGTAAAAAAAAAATCGAAAGTAAAGGTGATCTACTCTCGATAAATTATAAATAGACAGTCATTTTAATCGTTCCAAGTTTATAAAAATGAATTCCAAATATCGATTTGAACATTTATACAGGGATAGTGATATTGCAGTGAAATATTCGTAACAATTTCATTTATGCTGTGATTCCTGGTTTTAAAAAAGAGGAACCCAACTTTTGATGATCAGGATGTCTTAAAAAAATAACTGAATTTGTGAACTAAATTTGCAGATCCTTGTTCTAATCTTCTATTTAAGCATCACACCAGTCAAATCATGCCATGACTGCCTACATTTGTAGCATGCCTAAGGCCTTCAAAGATCCTGATCATTGAAGGACTTGGGCATATGTATAGCTAGTAATATATGTCTTTGGTCTCTTTCTGTTACCCAAAATAAGGTTGATTTTCATCTTGCGTAAAAGTAACTAAAGCCCTCAAAACTCAAAGCTGAAACCCCTGCTGTTAACATAAGACAATGTTTGACATGCCCTTTTTGAATTAACAATAAGCGAGGTTAAGTGCCATTTTCATGATTGGCTCCCTGCCCTTTTGAAATCCTAGCTGGAACACTGTAGTAAATATTATAATTAGGGCCCAGCCGAATGTTGGACGCCCTAAAGTTTTCAGTCTGTACGTCCGTCCGTAACAAATTGTGTTCGCTCTATATCTAGAGAACCGTTATGATCTCAAAGTTTATACTTGACATGTATATTAACCAACACCAGAGGGTGTGTCATAATGTATGTACAACTTCCTAGGTCAAAGGTCAAGGTCAAAAACTTTGGTTTTAGTTGACAACCCCATGTCCTAAGGTAAAGATCGTGTCCGCTCTATATCTTGAGAACCATTATGATTTCAAAGTTTATACTTGACATGTATATAAACCAACACCAGAGGGTGTGTCATAATGTATGTACAACTTCCTAGGTCAAAGGTCAAGGTAAAAAACTTTGGTTTTAGTTGACAACCCAATGTCCTATGGTAAAGATTGTGTCCGCTCTATATCTTGAGAACCGTTATGATTTCAAAGTTTATACTTGACATGTATATAAGCCAACACAAGAGGGTGTGTCATAATGTATGTACAACTTCCTAGGTCAAAGGTCAAGGCCATAAACTTCGGTTTCAGTTGACAACCCCATGTCCAATGATAAAGATACAAATTTTTTACCACACATTATTCACAGCGGGGCCCACAGAGATGGCTCTTATCTCAATGATATCTAGTTAATTGAATTACCTAAGGGCTATTCCATTAAAATGTATGTGGGAGGGTAGGAAGGAACTTTCAAAATATCCCTACAACCAAGAACCTTTTTTTAGATAATACTGAAAAAAGACCCATGACCAACATTCAATCATTAAACTTCCCTTCCTACCCTCCCACATACATTTTAATGGAATAGCCCTAATGAATTTAATAGGACTATCAAAGATCAGCCAAACAAAACACCAATTCTCTAAATAGCAATATCAGTTATTTCTACAGGAGTTTTGTCCCTTGAAAATAAAATTATACAGAAATTGCATGGTAAGCAATCTCATGCATAAATTTCTTGTACAATATCAATGAAAAACTTTAAATGAACCAAAATAGACATATTGGAGTTATTGCCCTTGGACACATGAAATATGCTCTTTTATTCTTTTAGAGAGGCCTACCCAGAAGTAGCAGTGCTAGATATACAGTTTGCCTACAATATTTCTAAGCTGGTTAAGCTGGATAAGAAAAGGTATTTGTAACAATTCAGTTATTTAACATCTTCATCTTGTTTAATGATACTGGTTGCAGGGAATTTTTTTAAGGATTTTTTTCAATTTAATGCCATTTTGGCATACACATTGTTGCAATGATTCCATGGATTTGTTCAGAATGATGACTGATTTTTAATTTTTTTTCCTTTTTTTTAATATACACTGTGTCTTTTCCTATGAAGGAATTAAAAAAAATAGTTCTCAAAATTTCTATAAAATCATTGACTTTTACATTTTGTCATTGTAGAAAAATGATGGCAGATGCAAAGTTTATGTCAGAATTAGAGTATGATGGCACTGGGAGGAGGCCTACACTGAGACCTTATGTCTGTGGGAGATGTTTTTGTGATTGTTGTGGTTGTGAGAAGGTAAGAAAATGTGAATCTATTTAGCAAATCCTACTGTTATATGAATAAAAGGAGATATGATGTATATGTGTCAAAGAGACAGCAACCCAACAACACAAAAACTAAAGAATCAATGTACATGATGTACAGTCTTCAAAGTTAAGATGTAAAATTGAGAATGGAAATGGGGAATATGTCAAAGAGACAACAACCCGACCAAAGAGTAGACAACAGCTGAAGGGGTTTAGTATCATACCATCATAAAATATATGAGAAGAACATAACCCGTATCATGCCAACAACTGGTTTTAGAATAAATATGTTTATTCAATAGGTCAAACTCAAAATCATCCTCAGTCACACATGGGCTATACAAACTAAAATCTTTCCTAAACATTTTCTTTTATATACCTCTTAATGTCTTTACACAAAAATCATAAATGTTGAAATCTTGGTTAGGATGTGACATCAAAAAGATTATTTTTTGACAATAAGATCAGTTAAATTCAGAAAAACAATGTTCATTATACCCACAGGAAACATTTTTTTTCATTGGTGGGGCGGGGGTGGGGGGGGGGGGGTGTGTTTGGGATTCACCTTGTCTATTTGTCAGTTTTTCTTTGTAACTTGTCAGTGCAACTTCTCCTTAACAGCTTGATGGCTATTGATAAAAAAATTACAGTTACAGAACATAATTACCTGAGGATGTGTATAAAGAAATATAATCCCAGTCCAAACATGTTAAAGGGGAGATAATCAAACTTAATACAGATAAAAATATTTGTTAAATGAGTGGTGAAGTATCTTATATTAGTTAAAAATAGACAGAGCTAAAACTGTGAGTGAACTCACTAAAATATACCACTGCCCAACAATACTATTTGTTAAATAAAGCAAGTAAATTTGTCTGTCTAGCCATTTAGGAGGATAAATTATAAAAATGTTTCAAAGAATAACCCATGCATGCAGGGTTGCTATTGAACTATAAATGTATGGCAAGGAAAATTCTCAATAACTATTACTAAAATGTCTTTTATCAGAAAATGTTGCATTGTGGTATCTCTAATATCTAAAGAGCTTGCTGAAATAGATGATGAGGTCAAATGATAAAATGTTACTGTAGTTGAAATATCAATACATTGTATTCAAAAGTAGGGCTATTTCAGAATTAATTATATGGGGTGGCAGTGTGATTTGAAAAGTTTTCTCATAATAACATATTACATTTCCAATTAAAATTGTAGGTGTCTGTTGGGTTTTTTGGGTAAAAAGTGACTTCTAACACCCCCATACATTATATTTTGGGAAAGCCCTAATATCAAATCACCTGTTCAAATTGGAAGATCTCTAATATCCAATATTTTTTCTTTAAATTCTAAAGTTTACACATTTATACCTTCAGGTTGATGCTATTGATTACTACAAGTACGAGGAGGATGTGCTCATAGCAGAATCTGAAAGTCAGAAAGTAACAGCTTACCGGGACCCAGCTGGCATAGCTTTTGTTACCTTTGAAATTGATTATATGGCTGAAAAGTAATTTATAATATTTCAATAGAAAATACCAGAAATAGACAAGTGATTCTGATTTCAATACATACAATTTGGTAAAAGATCTTTTTCTAAGTATTCCATTTTTTTTCTTTGACATTAACTGTGTTTAATCATTCAAATTACCTCTTTTATTCAAATTTGTCCTTTCATCTCTTAAACCCAATTTTGGTATATATATATATATTTAGGTAGGATATCTCCTCCAATGTTATTATTTTGAATTGAAAACAGGACCTCATTGCAAACCTGCCAGTATTTACACTACCTGTATTTATGAAAAATCAGAATAAAATTAATAGCTGCCTTAATGGTCCTTGCAATATAAAAATAAGAAGATGTAGTATGATTACCAATGAGACAACTTTCCACCATTTTGCAATGATTGATATAAACACTGTCCTTTTAAAAAGAAATTAAATTAAATTGTATAAAGTATTAAAATCTTATTAAACATTTCTTTGTCTATCTATATTGATAAATCAGATGTTCTAAAATATTGTAAACCCTAAAATTTAAGCATGAATGTATTATTGCTATTCGTGAACAATGCACAAAAATGTAAGTTTAATTATTGCAATTTCATGAAATGATTCTTACAAATAATGCTATTTAAATTTGAACTGCATTTTTTTAATTTTTTTGCATCCATTTGTATAAAAAGAAACATTGCAAAAATTTCTGAATTTGCAGTACACCTGCTACAGAGGTCACAAATTTGTTGTAGTTTAAATATCTCCGATTGTGAAATGATATAGTTATTTCTAATCAAATATTTAAATGAAATATATATTAAAGAACTTATCATTTGAATCACAATTTTGAACTGCATATTTATATATATGTGTTACCATTACAGAGTTCTGACAGATTTCAAAGCTGCATGTAAAGGTACACATAATCCTCTACAGTCAAGTTTGTTCACAGAACTGGCAGTGGAAGAATGGAGAGTAAAATATGCTCCTTCTCCAGAAAATATTTATTGGTATGTATAACTTAACCATGTGTGAATGACAGAAAAAAATTGAAATTAAAAATGATTAAAAATATATATTTTCCAGCAGAATGAGTGTTCTTTGAAATGCATTGATGAACATTACAACTGTTTTATGCAGGATTATTAAATAACTTACAATACTGGTAAAGTATTGATACAAATGCTATCATTCATTGCCAAACAAAGGACATTATAATCATATCAATGATAATCTAAAATTGTTTGCCAATTTGAATATGTGATATTCAGTAAATTGTGTGTGATATAAAAATAAGAAAATGTGATATGATGGTTATATATTATTAAGTGTTTTCAAAGAAAACTATCAATAAATTAAGTACGAAATATTTTGAAACCTATATAAGCTTGTTATTCACAAATCAATGAATTATTCCCAAAATTGTCTTAGTCAAATTACATTTTTATACTCCCACAGCTAGGCAAAGGGGGCATTAAGTGTTACCCATTTTACCGTTCATGAAGTATGCCCCTTTACAAACAAAAAAATTTCTGAATTTTTCGTTTCCGTTTTCTAACTTGAGTTTGCCTCAACCAAATGTTATGAAACTTATACACAATACCTATTCCCACAAAACACAGATCAAGTTTGAAATTGGGTGGCGTCACTTTTACCATTCTAGAGTTATGCCCCTTTACAAATGGAAAAATTGCTGAATTTTTCGTTTCCGTTCTCTAACTCAAGTTTGCCTCAACCAAATGTTATGAAACTTGTACACAATGCTAATTACCACAAAATAAAGGTTGCTTCATTGTAACCATTCTTGAGTAATGTCCCTTTAGAACATTATATGCAAGTTGGGGCATCCATCTGTGTCCCATGGACACTTTCTCCATTTATTTTTTTCTAAAGTTTGAAATAAAAATTTTAAATTCTGTTGAGATATCATCTTCTTTACACTAAAAATTAAATAGAATATTTGATATGAATCAAATGGTTTCTTTAATTATTCATTCTAATTATTGTCAACCAAACAGATTAATTCTATGCCCTGTGACATTATTACGATATTAAAAAATGCATTCTTCATCTTTGTTTTTTGTTGTTGATAAGTTTTGTAATTGGTCAAAGCACTACACTGTCAGCCAACTTATTTATGCAGATACTTTAATCCTTTCTAGTCATCTTTCTGTGATTTAAATTGTGAATTCCTAATTGTCTCTATGTATTTAAAGAAGGGAAGATTAAAGTTTTTTCGTAAACACATTATTTTTCTACTCCCGAAAGTTGAGAAAAATAAATGGCTCGCAAAAATTAGTTTGTTTCCAGTATATTGGTCTATGATTTCACCTTACAGTAACTAAAATGTCATTTTACTTTCAGGGAAAATCTTTCCAAGTCCAACTTAGTATGGTGGATACAAGCTATAATTATCAATTTATTACTGATTATTTTGTTGTTTTTCTTCACAACACCACTTATCGTCATTAATAATCTTAATGAAATCAACATAAATGTATCGAAAGCTACAGAAAAAATTGTAAGTATTGATGAAAAACCTGGTAGATATGCGCATATTTAGTAGTCTTAGAATTCTTAGTAAGAAATTATCAAAATAATAAACTTTTGAAAAAAACAAGCAAATAAAATGAATCTTTTTACTGGCAAAATTGGGTAAACCCTTCTAAAAAGAGTTCTAAAAGTCAATCAGTCAATTAATTAGCTTCTCTTTTGAAATTGGCAATTAAGCAGACTTATCTTAATTTCCACTCAGAAATTCTGTCTAAAATGAAGATGGTAGAACAGTACAACATGAAATATTCTCTCATGTTCAGGGAAAAAAAAAACTCAATCGAACTGGTCAGCACATTTTATTGCAACAATATAGCACTATAGGCGTTTGATAAGAGACAATTGCTTACATTGGTAAAAAAGGGAGACAATCTTCATACATTTTAAATGTATTTGGTATTTTCCATAACAGAAAAAATATGTCTTTTGGGTTCATATTAGCATGTTTATCCTTCCCCAATTCAAAGACCTTAAATTGATATTTACTGCTTCTTTGCACATCATTGCAGACTGGTTTGAAGGCATAAAACTGTGTTCCGGTAGAGTGACTTGTCAGATTTTACCTTGTTACCTAGCACAACAAAATCTAACTCAATGTTTTTGTCTACTACAAATTAGGGTATATATATATATCACATTTACATGTTATTGTCCTGAATATGAAATATTTTCTACTTGACATCCATCAATCAAATATCTTTATTTCAGAGTCCATTTGTTGAGCAGTTTGTGCCGACTATTCTCCTGTGGACCTTTGCAGCCTTACTTCCTAACATAGTCTATTGGTCTGACCAACTAGTAGGCCACTGGACAAGGTAATTAATGTAGTTTTTTTCTTGCATAGATGACATATAATTTCATCCTTTACAACCATGTCCATATAGAGTAAATTGTATTATATGGATCCTTTTAAGTGATTTCAGTAATTGGTTAGGTATTGTAATTAAGATTGCTAAGGCGATACAACTTGCATTAGGTGACTTTACCTTACATTTACCTGGGGTAATTTTGGTTTTAGCGCCCTTTTTTTTTAAAGAAATTTAGATAGAGTTTACAACATGCCAAAAATGAGTAAAATCATTTTAGTTTTAATTATAAATGCAGATTATATTATTTTTACAGTTTTACATGTCAATGACACAGCAATTTGTTATCACAATGATTACAATATAAAAACATTTTTGTATTCACAGGCTAGTAGATTATGACTTTATTAAGTGAAGCATATTATTTTTGGACCATTTGTTAATTTCTTCCTAGCATTACTTAGAAACTTGCACAAGGTTTCTATTTTCAGTGAGAGGTATTTAAATTTATCATAGATTAAAATTTGGAGTAATACAATGAAATCTGTGTATGCAGAATCCCTTTTGGACTATTTTTTCTTTGCACTAGACAGGTGCTCTGTTTAAATAAGTTAAATAACTATGGAATATTCTTTGTATACCTTGATTGCAATTAATGCAGGTTTCCCTTTAGGCAGGTTTTTTCTATATTTTCTACTCAGACCAAGAACAACACATTCATGGAAACTGTGAGAACTTTCCTGTACATCATTGTCTGGATATTTTTTTTCTGAACAACATTGTCAGTTTTATTCAACTATTCCTATTTTCAGAACTGCAGATCACCACAATGTAATGGTAAAGTGTTATGTTTTCTATTTTCAGAACTGCTGAACACCATAATAATATGGTAAAGTGTTATGTTTTCTATTTTCAGTACTGCAGAACACCATAATGTAATGGTAAAGTGTTATGTTTTCTATTTTCAGAACTGCAGAACACCATAATAATATGGTAAAGTGTTATGTATCTATTTTCAGAACTGCAGAACACCATAATGTAATGGTAAAGTGTTATGTTTTCTATTTTCAGAACTGCAGAACACCATAATAATATGGTAAAGTGTTATGTTGTCTATTTTCAGAACCACAGAACACTATAATGTTATGGTATAGTGTTATGTTTTCTATTTTCAGAACTACAGAATACCATAATGTAATGGTAAAGTGTTATGTTTTCTATTTTCAGAACTGCAGAATACCATAATGTAATGGTAAAGTGTTATGTTTTCTATTTTCAGAACTGCAGAACATCATAATAATATGGTAAAGTGTTATGTATCTATTTTCAGAACTGCAGAACACCATAATGTAATGGTAAAGTGTTATGTTTTCTATTTTCAGAACTGCAGAACACCATATTGTAATGGTAAAGTGTTATCTTTTCTATTTCAGAACTGCAGAACACCACAATGTAATGGTAAAGTGTTATGTTTTCTATTTCAGAACTGCAGAACACCATAATGTAATGGTAAAGTGTTATGTTTTCTATTTCAGAACTGCAGAACACCATAATGTAATGGTAAAGTGTTATGTTTTCTATTTTCAGAACTGCAGAATACCATAATGTAATGGTAAAGTGTTATGTTTTCTATTTTCAGAACTGCAGAACATCATCATAATATGGTAAAGTGTTATGTATCTATTTTCAGAACTGCAGAACACCATAATGTAATGGTAAAGTGTTATGTTTTCTATTTTCAGAACTGCAGAACACCATAATGTAATGGTAAAGTGTTATCTTTTCTATTTCAGAACTGCAGAACACCACAATGTAATGGTAAAGTGTTATGTTTTCTATTTCAGAACTGCAGAACACCATAATGTAATGGTAAAGTGTTATGTTTTCTATTTCAGAACTGCAGAACACCATAATGTAATGGTAAAGTGTTATGTTTTCTATTTCAGAACTGCAGAACACCATAATGTAATGGTAAAGTGTTATGTTTTCCTGTTGCTGATGGTGCTGATACTTCCATCACTTGGTTTGACAAGGTAAATCTCTTAGTATGGTCAATGACATCAAAAACTTCAGATTGCAATTGGTAACTTTGAAATAACTCTAAAATCCAGAAGTGGGGTCACACTCACATAATCCAAAGCCCAAAGTTGTTCCCACAATGTTTAGTGAAAGACTAGTTAACCAAGTTAGCTATTGTTGGTAGAATACAAAATATGTCAAATTTCAAATTTACCTGATTTTATAGAAATCTTAGGTATTCAATATTTATTTGGTTTCTTTATTATTGTTGTTTGCTGACAAACAGTACGAATAGGGATGAATTCTGTTGAAATCTTGATCAAAGTGTGGTATTGGAAGATTTGTAGAATGTTATCTTTAACTTGCAAATCTTTGATTTTATGTGTGTCTTTTATTGTATTATGTAACTTTTGAGTGTCAGAAAATAGAGGTAGAAAATATCAAAGGGGCTTTCAAAAGCTATATTGTACAAAAAACAGGAAATATCATGGTCCAGAAAATGAACAGTAAGATGAACACCAGTTCAAATAAGGCTACACAAAAAACTAAATATTGGGTAACATGAATCATACCAAAACATTGGGGGCGATCTTAGGTGTTCTGGAATGGTAAGCAGCTTCTGCTCTACTGTTGTATTGCTCATTGCAAGCTTAAATTTGGTGATAAGTTGCGATCTGTGATGTCAGGATTTAGAAAAAGAGAACAGGATTGTTGCTACGACAAAGAAAAAAATATCTGTAGTCATCTGTGACACAGTCATTCCATAATAATCAATCAAACATCTGAACAGCATAATGAAATTCAAACATCATGTTATTTCACTGGTTAGACATTTGTGTCAAATCTAGTTGCCTGATTCACTAACATGATCCTAATGAGGAAATTGGATGTTTACTGAAAGAAATAAACAATTTTATCTTTTCAGTGCAAAAGCCCTATTCCAGTGGTTTGTGATGGATTTACAGAAAAATTTTAGATGGAAGTATGTAAAGTAAAAATTTTAGTTGAAAGTATGTAAAGTAAAACTTTCAGATGGAAGTATGTAAAGTAAAACTTTCAGATGGAAGTATGTAAAGTAAAACTTTCAGATGGAAGCTTTTAGATGGAAGCATGTAAAGTAAAACTTTTAGATGGAAGTATGTAAAGTAAAACTTTTAGATGGAAGTATGTAAAGTAAAACTTTTAGATGGAAGTATGTAAAGTAAAACTTTCAGATAGAAGTATGTAAAGTAAATAGATGGAAGCATGTAAAGTAAAACTTTTAGATGGAAGCATGTAAATTAAAACTTTTAGATGGAAGCATGTAAAGTAAAACTTTTAGAAAAGTAAAACTTTCAGATGGAAGTATGTAAAGTAAAACTTTTAGATGGAAGCATGTAAAGTAAACAGATGGAAGTATGTAAAGTAAAACTTTTAGATGGAAGTATGTAAAGTAAAACTTTTAGATGGAAGTATGTAAAGTAAAACTTTCAGATGGAAGTATGTAAAGTAAATAGATGGAAGCATGTAAAGTAAAACTTTTAGATGGAAGCATGTAAATTAAAACTTGTAGATGGAAGCATGTAAAGTAAAACTTTTAGAAAAGTAAAACTTTTAGATGGAAGCATGTAAATTAAAACTTTTAGATGGAAGTATGTAAAGTAAAACTTTTAGATGGAAGCATGTAAAGTAAACAGATGGAAGTATGTAAAGTAAAAATTTTAGATGGAAGTATGTAAAGTAAAAATTTTAGATGGAAGTATGTAAAGTAAAACTTTTAGATGGAAGTATGTAAAGTAAAACTTTCAGATGGAAGCATGTAAAGTAAAACTTTTAGATGAAAGTATGTAAAGTAAAACTTTTAGATGGAAGTATGTAAAGTAAAACTTTTAGATGGAAGTATGTAAAGTAAAACTTTTAGATGGAAGTATGTAAAGTAAAACTTTTAGATGGAAGTATGTAAAGTAAAACTTTTAGATGGAAGTATGTAAGGTAAAATTTTAGATGTAAGCATGTAAAGTAAAACTTTTAGATGGAAGTATGTAAAGTAAAACTTTCAGATGGAAGTATGTAAAGTAAAACTTTTGGATGGAAGTATGTAAAGTAAAACTTTCAGATGGAAATATGTAAAGTAAAACTTAATTATCAAAGATATTTGATTTGAATAAATAATTAAGTTAATTAAGTGATAAATCATTTAAACATCCATTGTAGTTTGTTTCAAAGCAGACTTATTTTTTCTCTATTTGTCCTTTGGTGACGTCAAGGATCTGAGGTATCATAAAAGGAGAAGTTTAACCTAATTTGAAAAATTATGCATTATCTAGTATTATCTTCAAAGATTAGAATAACACTTTCCATTCCGTAAATTCTGATTGTGCTTTGATACTTCTTTTCTATCTAGATTACAAAATTTATAATAAATTTGATTGTAAAGACTCTTACTTAAAAATTTACAAAATATATTCCAGTTGATATTAATCAATCAATCAATTTCAATCTGTTTGTACAGGATGAACAAATTTAAAAACTTTTTTGAAATATAATCATGTACTAAAATAAATCCTTTCTTGTATTTCAGATGTATATTTCTGTCAGGAAATGGTGCTTTCTTTATAAATTACATCATTACTGCAACTTTCATAGGATCAGCTTTAGAATTGCTGAGATTTTCAGAATTGTTTATGTATGCATTTCATTTGTGTATGACAAGGTCAAATGCTGAGAAAGTGGCAGTCAGAAAGGTATGTATAATATTGATTAAAAATTGAGTTACATAGTTTTTACCAATCTTTTCAATTTAATAAACTTGAAGTGTGTCCAGAATATTGTCTTCTTTATACGCAAAATAGTAATCTGGCTCAGATAATGGCTTTCTACAAATTATGATTGTATTTTACTTAATCACCATATTTGTCTCAAGAAAAGCCATTTTATAGAAATGTAAGCAAGTTGTAAAAAGAACTGCATGGTGTATGAATCTATCTGTTTTACCTAAAATTTTATTGATAAAGGGAAATAACTCAATTCACATTATTGCCTCACAAGCAATTTGATTAAAGCATCACATGGGAAAATTGAGTGGGGATTAGAAAATAGATACGAAAACTTTTAAACTTAAGGTCAAGTTACAGTAATGGGTCATGTCACAGATTTTTGTCAAATTTACATACAGTTACGGTATGTTAAACTTTATCTGAATATTGAAAAAATAATACATATGTCTCTTTTATTTTCTGAAATATTTCTGAGTGAATTATTTCAAAATAGGCGAGCATTTGTATAGAAAGCACATAAAATTGGTATAAAAAATGAAATAAAAATGATTTACAATAAATTGTATGTTATATGGATACGTATAGGAAATATACCACTGAATTATATATAATTTTTCTGTTTTTCAGTCCATGATATGGGAGTTTCAGTTTGGTATTCAGTATGCGTGGATGTTATGTGTATTTTGTGTTATAGTTGTATATAGTATACCTTGTCCGTTAATTGCACCATTTGGTAAGTAGCACTATTTGTGTTATAGTTGTATATAGTATACCTTGTCCGTTAATTGCACCATTTGGTAAGTAGCACTATTTGTGTAATAGTTGTATATAGTATACCTTGTCCGTTAATTGCACCATTTGGTAAGTAGCGCTATAATGATAAAAAAAAATCATTTGTTTTTTCTGCTGAAACTTGAAACAAAATCTTTTCTTCTTTCAGACTAGCAATGGCCTTTATAATATGGCAAAACAATGTTTTTTTGTCTTTAAGTATTGAACTGTCAGAACAAAATTTTACATTGATTATTCATAATATGATGTAAAAAGTTTATGTCAAAGTTCATTTAAATTTTATGTTATAATTTTCTTTCATTGTCTTTCTATTTGTAATGAGATGTGATTTGAATACTTATCATGCTAATTAGGAACTGGATAAATTCTATTGATGAATTTTCTATTATCAATTGACATGAATTTGTTTTGCTGTTGTTGACTTTGACAGTATCTCTATTTTGATACATGAAAATTATTAGCAGGGGTTTAAATAAATGTGAGTCAGGTTCTTGACCTGTCTATTCTGGGAGGGGACCTTTCAATTTTGAATTACAAAAGTCAAGGCCCTCCCATTCTTTACACTGATGCTTTATACAAGACCTTTGACCTTCTCAAGGAGTTCACTTCAATATTTATATGGTCCTGGACCTTTCATACATTAAAACAAATTTTAATCCCTGATTAGATGACACACAGACTTGTTTTTGAGCTTTATAAGCTTGATGTTGCATCTTAATTTTATTTCAGGTTTGTTGTATATGATATTTAAGCATGCCGTAGACCGTTACAATATTTATTTTGCATACAAGAGGTCACGCATCAATAGATACATTCATCAGACAGCGATCAACTTTGTAGTGGTAGCTGTCATCATGTTACAGTGTAATATTGTTTTCTTCACGATCGTCAGATCAGGTAAGACTTCCTTATGTAATAGTGTTATATTGTTTTCTTCACCACCGTCAGATCCGGTAAGACTACTTCATGTAACAGTTTAATATTGTGTTCTTCGCCATCGTCAGATCAGGTAAGACTTCCTCACGTTACAGTGTAATATTGTTTTCTTCATGATCGTCAGATCAGGTAAGACTGCCTCATGTTACAGTGTTATATTGTTTTCTTCACGATCGTCAGATCAGGTAAGACTTCCTCATGTTACAGTGTAATATTGTTTTCTTCATGATCTTCGGATCAGGTAAGACTTCCTTATGTTACAGTCTAGTATTGTTTTCTTCACAATCGTCAGATCAGGTAAGACTTCCTCACATTACAGTGTAATATTGTTTTCTTCACCATAGTCAGATCAGGTAAGACTGCCTCATGTTACAGTGTAATATTGTTTTCTTCACCATAGTCAGATCATGTAAGACTTCCTCACATTACAGTGTAATATTGTTTTCTTCACCATCGTCAGATCAGGTAAGACTTCCTCATATTACAGTGTAATATTGTTTTCTTCACCACCGTCAGATCAGGTAAGACTGCCTCATGTTACAGTGTAATATTGTTTTCTTCACCACCGTCAGATCAGGTAAGACTGCCTCATGTTACAGTGTAATATTGTTTTTTTCACCACCGTCAGATCAGGTAAGACTTCCTCACGTTACAGTGTAATATTGTTTTCTTCACCATCGTCAGATCAGGTAAGACTGCCTCATGTTACAGTGTAATATTGTTTTCTTCACAATCGTCAGATCAGGTTACAGTGTAATATTGTTTTCTTCACCACCGTCAGATCAGGTAAGACTGCCTCATGTTACAGTGTAATATTGTTTTCTTCACCACCGTCAGATCAGGTAAGACTGCCTCATGTTACAGTGTAATATTGTTTTCTTCACCACCGTCAGATCAGGTAAGACTTCCTCACGTTACAGTGTAATATTGTTTTCTTCACCATCGTCAGATCAGGTTAGACTGCCTCATGTTACAGTGTAATATTGTTTTTCTTCACAATCGTCAGATCAGGTAAGACTTCCTCATATTACAGTGTAATATTGTTTTCTTCACCATCATCAGATCAGGTAAGACTTCCTCACGTTACAGTGTAATGTTGTTTTCTTCACCACCGTCAGATCAGGTAAGACTGCCTCACGTTACAGTGTAATATTGTTTTCTTCACCATCGTCAGATCAGGTAAGACTGCCTCATGTTACAGTGTAATATTGTTTTCTTCACCATCGTCAGATCAGGTAAGACTTCCTCATGTTACAGTGTAATATTGTTTTCTTCACCATTGTCAGATCAGGTAAAACTTCCTCACATTACAGTGTAATATTGTTTTCTTCACCATCGTCAGATCACGTAAGACTTCCTCATGTTACAGTGTAATATTGTTTTCTTCACCATTGTCAGATCAGGTAAGACTTCCTCATATTACAGTGTAATATTGTTTTCTTCACCATCGTCAGATCAGGTAAGACTGCCTCATGTTACAGTGTAATATTGTTTTCTTCACCATCGTCAGATCAGGTAAGACTTCCTCATGTTACAGTGTAATATTGTTTTCTTCATGATCGTCAGATCCGGTAAGACTACTTCATGTAACAGTTTAATATTGTGTTCTTCGCCATCGTCAGATCAGGTAAGACTTCCTCACGTTACAGTGTAATATTGTTTTCTTCACCATCGTCAGATCAGGTAAGACTGCCTCATGTTACAGTGTAATATTGTTTTCTTCACCATAGTCAGATCAGGTAAGACTGCCTCATATTACAGTGTAATATTGTTTTCTTCACCATAGTCAGATCAGGTAAGACTTCCTCATATTACAGTGTAATATTGTTTTCTTCATGATCTTCAGATCAGGTAAGACTTCCTCATGTTACAGTCGAGTATTGTTTTCTTCACCATCGTCAGATCAGGTAAGACTTCCTTATGTAACAGTGTAATATTGGTTTCTTCACAATCGTCAGATCAGGTAAGACTTCCACGTGTTACAGTGAAATATTGTTTTCTTCACCACACTGTACATGTAAGGATCCTACAAATTTCATAATTATGTGATGCAGTCTTAAAAAAAAAAAAAATCGCTGTTCCAGAATTAAATTCATGGAGCAGTGTGTGTGTGGGGAGTGACACTTATTTATAACCTAACCGGCAAATTAAAAAAAAAATTGTATATGATTCTTTTTTCCCTTATCCCTGACAACTTGCTCAATTGCCAAATCGCCCCAGAACTTTTCAGCCTAACTTTCTACAAAATCTCCCCACTAATGAAAAAGAATTAATCTAGTTGAATAAAGACCTGCATACTTGTCCATTTGATAAAAAGGATTTTCTTCCTGCTGTTGTCAAAAAATTTCTGCCCCTATCTAACATACCTTTATTTTACTGAGGCAGGTTTAATTTCCAATCTTTTCCCCTTCATCCTACTTAGCCTACCTCACAGAAACAACATATTGTAATAATTGTTAAATTTGTTCTTATCCTGAACATGCTGTAACCTACACTTGAAATTACAAAAAATAGAAAAAGTAAAAAAAAAATGCTAATATATTCTTATTTTTTTTTGCTTTTTTAACCTATTATTTTATTTGTTTTCAGAAGGAACAAATGCAGTTTTTGTGTTTTCTGCTGTGTGTTTATTCTTGTCAGTAATAATATTTATTGGCAAGGCATTCTTTGGATGGTTTAAACATCTAGATACCAACAGATATAAGGTAAAAAAATCTACAGACATTTTTTCTATCAAATTTTTCATATTTTTTCATTCAGCATGATCACTGTTTAACTCACAAAATCTTTCTTGATCTTATATAGGGTAAAAGGTTTGCACCTTTATTTATTTTAATTTTGGCTCTAGTTTAAATGATTCATTCTATAATTTCATCAATACATTAAACTGTTTTATTTGACAACTCTAATACTGTGTATGTACTTTCTTGCAATTGGTCAAATCAGATTCATAGAAATGTGATAGTTGTTGAAACTATAAGAACTGTAAGCAGAACTCAGATAGAAGTAAATCAGAAAATCTTGCTGCAAGATAATGACATGCATATTCTTTTAAAAAAAATAATAATTATTATGGATTCATTTATTTTCGTGGGTACCAATTTTTCGTGAATTATACATAATTGGAACTTCGTTCAACATCTGAATTTATGGTTTACCTAAACCCACGATATCCACGACAACTGATATTCCACGAATATTAATGAATTCATAGTAGTCTGGATAAAAGTGTGAGGTGTTAAAGTATATTTTACATTTGATCTGATTTGATAAAAATTGACCTTATGCAAGTTCACATATACGTGTACATGTACAAGACTTTGATTGATTTTGGGACATTCAAACACATAATAAAGGATGAATTTTGGTCTTTTATGTAGGGTACTTATATCAACTCAATTTTCAAACAATTGCAGACTTTGCATCGAGATTTTTTCTACCTGTATAGGTTAATAGATGTATTGATATTCATTTGCATAAGGTCGATTTACGCAACTCACATCTCACAATAAGTAGAAAAGTAGCTTTATACTTGATCATGTCAAAATGGTGCATAATTACAATTTTATTATGACAAAAGGAAATTAATTTTTGACAAGAAATCTAGTTTTTATCACAGTCATTCTGTTGCAGGTTTTTCCAATTTACTTCTTAAACTATTGGAAAGTCACCTAGGTTAAGCTTTGTTAATTGTCAGAGAACATTTGTAATTTAATAGTTAACAATTTTTTATAATACAACCTGGAACAATATCAATATTTATGATCAACTTTGAAAAAAAATTGGATATGGTATGTTGATCTTTGTGATAAATAAATTATGTAAAAATTATATTATTTATATTTGAAAAATCATTCAAAGCAATTTTGTATCAATAAGAGCATATAAAAGATTTAGGAAAAGTAAGAGTTCAGTACATCAGAATAGTTGATTGATTGTATTAAAATAAATGTGATTAAAATTTTATTTATGATGAATTGTTGTTGTAAAAAAAGTAATATTGCATGTGAATGGCTTTTATTTTTTGTGTGTATGCAGCTTTACCAACACTTTACATTTGTTTTTGTTTATTTTTACCCGTTAGTTTTTCTGTTGTTTTCCTGTAAGTAGATATAATAGAGCATGACGGTGAACTTGGTCAGGTCGCCTATAAATATGTAAATTGCTAATGCATGGCAGAATTACTGATCCATATGACTTAAAATAACTTATTTGTTTATATTGTCAGTTTCATCCTCTGTAAAAGTTTCCTAATGAAAGGGTTAGTAAATAAAGAATATTTCCTAACTTGTGTAACGTAGGTATTAGCATTGAATTGATATATACAGACAGATATTCATTTCTGAAGTCACAAATCTTTTAATTGCACACATCTCTGGAATACAAAATTGTAGATATCATTTTAATCTTTTCTTAGCACTTTATTTAACATGTCAGTCTGGTTTTGTTTGTTTACTCACATAGAAAGCAGAGTTTTTCTTACTCCTGAAAACAATGTTTGCCTCATTATTTAAAGATCTTCATGCAGTTTTTCATTGCTTTTACTACACTTGCTTAATACTATCACTTAGGCAATGAGCTAAAATATTTTACTAGTTGATCAGTTTGTACAAACAAATTCAAACTGCAATTGGGTAAAACATTTTAGAAAATTAGTATTGTTGAAGATTTCTGTTGGATATGTTGGCTATGGTATACAGATGTTTTTAAATCTACTGTCAATAATTTACTAGGTATTATATGACATGACCTTTTAACCCTGAAGGATAGTACTGACATTATGCTTAACGATGAAAAGGATTATACATGTATTATCTATGGTTTGTCTCAAGGTGTACCTTGCATGCTGTAGACTTACTCAAGCTGGTTGTAGTAGTAATCTAGTTCCTAAATATTGTTATCTTGGTCAACTCTTGTTTGTTGAAGTTTTTAAGGAATTAATGAAGGTGAAGGGCATACAGTCAATACATAAAAGGTGGGAAGAAAGGTAATAAGGAAATATTGAAGAGAAATGAGAAGAGATTTAAAAAACTGATACCAATTTTGTTTTTCCGGTAAAATTGTATGGAAGAGTTATCTCCCTTTTGGCAAGTGGACTTTTACACCTTTTTTTCACAAATTTTCATGTTTTTGTTGTTTATTTGGGTAAATATTCATTTGCCTAACCTTACCATACATTTTACTCTAATTTATTCATAACTGTTTTAAAAAATTTTAGAAATAAAAAATACACAGCATTCCCCAAATAAAACTACTACCAAAATAGACAACTCTTGTAAAAACCATGCAAATGGAAGTGTCTAAAAATACCCATGATAGGGAATAGCTGCAACATAGTAGACAATTCTTAAATTGGTTGCAAACCACATGGGATGATGATGCTGATGCTAGTTTCACTCCCTCAATTCAGCTCAGGTCATACTAACTTAGTCCATTAACCATTACATTAACCTTAACTTGAAGGAAGACTTTCTGTTCATAGATTTAAACACCTTTGTATACGATGATCATGTATTTTGAGCAAACCTTGTTTCTACAATGAAAATAATGAGATGCAGTATGATTGCCAATGAGACAATGATCTACCTAAGACCAAAGGACAAGGATGTGATCAACTATAGGGCTCAGTAAGGCCTCCTACAATGAGCAAAATTCATACTGTATACTATAGTAAGCTATTTAAGGGCCTGGGATAACAAAAAATTAATAAAAGCATGCTGCAATCAATGTTTTTGTTGTAGTTATTATGCAAAGCAAGTTTAATAGTTACTTTTCATGCTTTAAGCAAGTGTTAGTTGTTTCATTGTGGTCATTGTGTTTTGTTTTTAGCCAAATTCAGAATGTATTACATCCCATTGTATCAACATCAGTTGTTGTTTGTTAAATGTATTAGATCCTTTAGAATCCTACTCCAATAGTCTCTCTGTGACTTTCCCCCTTAAACTTACTGACTCAAATCTCTTAAAATTTTCCCTTTCTTATTTTCATCTGCAACAGTCAGCTGGATTGGATGATGAGGTGGGTAAATAGACTCTGCTTTTAACGCTGGCTCCCTCATTCCTTTTAACACTTAGGAATCTTGGTTTTTGTCTCGCCTTGACGGAGTCAAAAAGCGAGACATAAGTATGCCGTTTCCGGCGTCAGTGACGACGGCAGCAGTGGCGGCGTCAACAATGTATTAGTTTGTGATTAGGTCTAGTTCATGGTGAACCACTAGTGGTAGGTCAATGATATTTGGTATGCAGTTGTATTAGCATAGGCAGATCTCATTACCATGGAGCTTATTTAGCCCCGCCCCCTCAGTCAAGGTCTATTGACTTTGAAACTTTTGCTTAGTTTACATGTATTAGTTTGTGATTAGGTCAGTTTATGGGGATCCACTGGTGGTAGGTCAATGATATTTGGTATGCAGTTGTATAAGCATTGGCATATCTCATTTCGATGGAGATTATTTGGCCCTGCCCCCTCATTCATGGTCTATTGACTTTGAAACTTTTGCTTAGTTTTCATGTATTAGTTTGTGATTAGGTCAGTTTAAGGGGAACCATTAGTGGTAGGTCAATGATAATTGGTATGCAGTTGTATAAGCATTAACACATCTCATTGCCATGGAGAATATTTTATCCCTACCCCTCAGTCATGGTCTATTGACTTTGAAACTTTTGCTTAGTTTACATGTATTAGTTTGTGATTAGGTCAGTTTAAGATCAACCACTAATGTTAAGTCAATGATATTTGGTATACAAAATGTATTGACATTTGCAAATTTAATTTCCATGGAGATAATATAACCACACCCTCTAATTATGGTTTGTTGACTGAAACTTTTACATAGTTTACAAGTTAATTTTTTTTTGTTTAGGTTTGTTTAAAGGGAACGACTTATGAAAAGTCAATGGTATTTGGTTTGCAGTTGTATTAGCTATGGCACATCTCATTTCCATTGAGATTGTTTTGCCCTGTACCTTCAGTCATGGTTCATTGACTTTGAATATTTGCATAACTTACATGTTAAAGTATTGCTATTTTAATTTCAACATTTGCATTATCAAAATAACAAATAGGCGAGACATATCTCTGTGTTAACAGTTTATCTGAAGTCTCTTTGCCATTTCATTTGGGATATCTATGCTATCATCAGTTCAATCAGGATTTCTTCTACTGCATGGCATGATAAACTATATCAACCAAATGCCATTACGATGAGATGCAATACTTTCTATTATTAATATAAACTAAAAACTATAATTTTGGTGCACAAACTGTTCACTATTTTAACCTAAGGGTGGTCAATAATGTCTGTCTATTTGCCCCTGAGATTGCAGTTATAGATATTTAAAAAAAAAGATTTCCTCCATTAAGAAAATCATTTGTTAATTTTAGATTGATATTTGAATACTTTTCAACTTTTATTAAAAACATATTTTCCAGATATCGATAATATTTAATTTTTTTGTCATACATAGATTTTGACCAGATTTGTTTACTACAGTAAATTAGGATCACTACTGATGAGTGAGGTATTTTAATGACATTCCCTTTAGCACAAGATATTGTTATGATCCATTACTGCAGTCATACACATCTTCATCCTAAATTTATTACCCAGAATTCTCAATTCCCCCATGATGCAAATCTCATTACTTCTTCATAAAGGTACAGTGAAATTGCAATTTATCAAAAATCAATTTCTTTCATGGAAGATTTATGCAACCAATTTAAGAGAAATATTATCTTTATTAAGTTAAGTTAGAGACATCCATATAAATATTAATGTTGATTTGGTTTCTAATCAATTGTAACTGATTCACAGTCTGAAAACTTGAACTTTTGTGAATATTTTCTTTGCACCAGGCTTTTTTGGGAATAGGTAAATCATCCAATTTTGCATTTAGACTTACCCAGTACAAACATTTACAAATTAAAAAAGTTAAAAAATTAATAAAAGCTTTTGCAATATTCTGATATCTTGATATATTATAATGTAAATGAAAGACTGAATATAATCCATTAAACCATTGGTTATTTCATATTATGAGGTTTTTATGCAACTTTTCTTTAAATCAGACATATTTCTGTAGATTTCTATTTCTCAATTGTCTGTTTATTCATTGAAAACCTCTATATTTACTCTGTGTAAAATTACTAAATTTGAAATTATATTGAACTGTGATGAATAACTTTCAGAATTGATTTGGTATATTCATTTATTGAATTCAGCCATCAACTTTAATACTACAATTTAAGACATAAATTCATTGTTTTAGATTGTTATGAAATTGATATTTATTATTACAGCAATTTGGAGAGAGTGATGGTTTGACAACACCACCAGAGACTAGCGAAAAGGTATACTAATAACTATATTATAAAAAATCTGTGAGAGAAGTATAGTATGCATTCTCTTGTGGGAATTTTCTGAATTTTAACAAATCATTTGGAATAAAATATGTTTTTTTTGCGTCATGTGGGAGTTTTTGATATTTTGAAAATAACAAAACAAATAAGTACAGAAATGCATTGAAATTTGTCTGATAGAAGGAAAATGATTGATGCAGCAATCAGTTTCATACAGTTTATATTAAGATAAAGAAATGTGGTATGATTGCCAATGAGACATCTATTCACCAGAGTCCAAATGAAGTGCATGTAAGCAATTATAGGTCATACAGCCTTCAACTACTGCTTACTTCATGCACTACTTTAGATAACTGTTGTTCTAATCATATGATGAATGGCATGAAAGTCTGTTCATGCAATTTTAATAACTTGATCATTTTCTTTGTAATGTTTTGTAACAACATTGAATTTAATACCAATGTTGTTTTATTAGACTTGACACATTTCTATAGGCCTGTCCAAGACAGCTGTATTATGGTATACCAATGTCTGTTCCTCCTTCAGTCAACACATCGTATGACAACTCAATTAAATGTTTGAATTAAGGCAATTTTTATACGACAGCAAAAATTTGTGGCCCTATAATGGTATGGTGAAGTCGTCATCATCGTCCGAAGACAATAACTTCAGTATAAGTGTATGGATCCCTATGAAATTGTACAACAAGGTTCCATACCACAAAAGGAAGGTTGGATTTAATTTTGGGTTTTTTTTTTTTTGGGCTATATCTGCTGAGGAATTAGAAGCCAAAAAGGGGGTAAAACACGAGCAATTTCTATCCTTCCACCCCCCAAGGGTGAGTGGGGAATAGAAATATTTTCACTTGGTCTTCTTCCAACCAGCAGTAAAACCCTTGCCAAAGTGGGGTGTCTGTTTGGTTGTGTGAGATGTACAAGTACACAGCCATGTTGGTTCAGAATAAGGACGTTGAATCCAATGCCTCATGTAAAGAGAGTGCCATACTCTTTGCACATTAAGAACCCTTTCAACAACTCTTTGAGGGGTCAGTAGGGGGCCTGTTGTAAGATTTTTTGCAAAATTTCTGTCCCTATCCAATAAACCCTCATTTTTCAGTGGCAGTCCAAATTTCCCTGACTTTCTACCCAAAAGCCTCTATTACCGGACCTACCTTATGTATTTATTGTTGATTTATTCTCGTCCTGAACATGCATGAAATATTTGCTACTGGACATTAAGCAACCAACAATCAATCAATCAATTAATTGTCAGATTTAAGTAAAACTTTCACTTGTTGTACCATAACTTGAGTTGTGCTTGCATTTATTTACTGACAACTCTTCATACCTGTTGGAATAGGTGAATATAATACACTGTTCCATTTAAAAAGAATTCTGATATGTCATTTTAGAGTTATGGGACTTTGACTGATATGTAAAAGGTATTTTTATGATATCATGCTTATGCTTAGATCAAATTACTACAAAGTTTACACGGTTGTTGGGGTTGGTTTGGATTGGTATATGTACTCTTGATATTGAATTTTTTCTGGTTTGTCATTCCAGAGTTATGGGACTTTAAAAGTCATAACTGACACAATACATATATGCATAAGGGTATCCTCATGCATGTTTATTCTACAGAGCCATCTTATTAGCTTCTGATGAAATGCCTTCTAAATATCCCATTTCGTTTTCTTAAAAATTTCAATATACACAATAAGTATGAATTACTTGTGTCTCATCCATTTTGCTGATATTTAGCATATTAATAGAATATGTTTAAACTAATCTCTTGATGCAGCTGCTTATTTCGAGGTCACTGGTCTGCAATTTTTGCTGATGCACTGACAAACTGATTAAAAGTCCAAAGAACCTATTAATGACCTCAAGAAAAAAGAATTTAAATCCTTATAATTTTAAACCCAAACAGTTAACAATAAAATTTGGGCAGGATTTGCTGATTTGGTTCTTTAAATATTGTGCCATTTTTTGTTGACTTTTTTTTAAGTTAATGCCCTTGGTAGTGGACTTTGAAGTGATTTAGTTTTTCCTATTTTCTTTCTTTCCCTTTGTTTGACATATTGATGATACTTTATATTTGAAAACCACTTGCATAAATTATTTGGTTTTCCAAGTCAGAAATATGGCAGTTGTTTTTCATTTGTACCATTGATTAATAGGGTTTGATTTTGTCAGTTTTTATATACTTCCCTTTTTTGAATTTGCCTTGGAGTTTGGTATTTTTCTTTTTCTTTTTTACAGTGCAATGTATTGTACATGTACTTAATCATTGTAGTAAACCAAATGTTATACTTCTAATTATTACATACAATTTTTTTCAGCCATTTATAGCCAGTGTTTTACTAAACAAAAATAGATCAGACGAAAATGTACAAGAATCGACCAGTTCTGATCCAGTTGGGGTACAAGGCAAGACAAACTATGGGTCTGTCAATGAAAAACACACACAGGATCCTTATGAATAATAACTATGACAATGAAGGAACCTATGGGGCAAAAAGTTCAAATTTAACTATGAAAGATAATACAGCATGATACAGTGAATGGAGTACACTTTGCTCAGTTTTCTATAGGAGGAAGACATGAATTTAGTTCAATAAGAATTATTTCAGTATTGTATTCGTGTATCTGATTGTTTTCTGCAACTTTTGTACTTCTACAATAAACCAGTTATATAACCTTGCATAAAATTGCCAAGCAGATCAAATGGAATATTGTGTAAACTGGGACAGCCATTGTGAATGTATATTGAATACTTGAATGTAAAATTTTACTGATTGAAATGTACTAGTTTAAATGTACTCACAGTACGGTGGATAGACAGACAGAGTTATAAAAAAATATAATAAAGTTGGAAAATAAATCGATGCAGAAGTAGATAAATTCAAGTAGAGAAAAGCTGTAGAACATTTGCCTAATTTGTTGAATGGACTGAAGACTGGCTTTATTTTTTAAATGATATATAATCAATGCATGCTAAAAAGTCTTAATTGACTTGTTGGCAGTTCAATTTGTGATATTAACCAGAAGCAATTCTCTATTTATAATTTGTATTGCACTATTGGGATAGATTCAGTTGATATTAGTGGTTTGCAGATAAGAGGATTATTAAATTTTTTATTACAAGACAAAATTTGCATTGTTTGCCCAACAGTAACTTTGAAATATTCTATACTTGATCTCCTTTGTTTCTTTTGCAGCAACTGATTAATCTAGAGAATGGTTGATCCGAACCCAATCTATCAGATTGGAGTTTCCATAAAAACAAAATCTTGCACCTCATCTGAAATAGACATTTTAAGTATGTTACTTTCCTCAAATTTATTAGGATGAATAATTAAGGGGACTCCTAAAGAGGGGGTGTATTCATGGGATGGATTTCAAAATTTTATGAAGTTCATTGATAATAAGACCAAACCAAAACTTTTGCATAATAGTATCAGTTATATTTTTTTTGTTTTAATGGGAAAGATTCTAGTCAATAGAACAAAGAAATTTAATATTGGAGCATAATTCATTTTAAATGACTTAAGAAATTTAGCACAAGATGTTTTAGTATAGAAGATGTAACATTACTTGTAAATTCATATTCATAAAAATTATTATTGAAAGGAGTAAGTCCTGTAAGACCCCTTTTTGGCCCCAAAATATAGCAGTTTTACAAAATAGTTAAAATGTAAACTTTTAGCTATTTATTGGAAAGTAGGACACTTCTGTTACATAAATCTGTGCTGTTTTTGACAATACAATGCACATATATCGGGTACTAGCATCATTAAGTCATGCTAAATTACTGAAATCTTTACAATTTTAGCATTTGAGTTAAATTTTAGACAGTTTCCGTCTTAAATGGAAGTGGCCGCATTTGTGTCCATTCTTAATATTTAAATGTAAGTTGTATTTGATGATAATACATAACATATATAAAGGTTGAGCGTGAACAAGGATGCGGCCACTTTCATTTTTGACAAAAAACCATCTGAAAAGTGACATAATTTGGCATATTTGTCTTTTATGACTTAATCAGTTCAAATCTTTCACATAAACTAATTGAATCGACTGAAGTAGACACTCAAGTGTTTTAAAAGTGTCCAAAATCTTTCATCAGATGAATCTGAAATTTGAGGGCAAAATCGGTCCTTACCGGATCTACTCCTTTGCTTAAATTTGCAGTGAATTTTATGAGATGCTTTTTATCGTGTAGTTCCAACTTAATGGTAGTAAATCATAATAAAATAATATGTTTTTCATATAATACATCATTACACCATCTTTATGATCCTTTCATAAGTGCCAAACGTTCATATTGAAAGTCACTTCAATTTATATCTAAATTGTCTTATCTCTCTCAAAAGAATCAATTTAATTTAAAAGTCAACATTTTAAATGCAGAAAAAATGAAGCGCAACATTTTCGTTCTGCAAGAAAAGAAAAGCTTTCAATTATTTTTTTCATTTTGAACCAATTTGACCCCCAATTGACCTTATCTTTGTGTACTTGGCTGTGAAATCCTAAAAACCATAATGATTTATATCTTTTTTAATTATATATAGGATCAAAAACATGTTCTCCTTGCTCACAGTATAATTAGTCTTCCTTTTTTAATTTTTTCTCTAAAGACATTATTTTCTTGACATGTAGATTTTATGAACTTTGCTTTAAGATATCTCCGATAGCTTTACTTTACTCAAGGGAACAAATAGTAATGATGTTTTCTTGTTTATTACTTTAATGCATTATATACTTGTGATATAAATTGGAATAGATATGCTTTTACTTACTGCACTTTAAAAATCAATAGATTGTCTATTTAGTTAAGGAGTAGACTAGATTCATTTATTTTAGTATTGTGGTATGGAATGTTTTCCTTAAAGATAAATATCTGTTATTATTCTAAAACATAGATGGAAAGACATGTGGTATTGAAAAATTGTTGAATACTCTAGGATATAAGAGCGTTTTTTGACATACTGTCTGATAAGTAAATATAATTTGCAGTGTTCTGGATATAGATGGTTATTAATCAATAAATGAGAGGTCGTTTGTTGGTTATGAATGTGATCTATAATTCCTTAACATTCCATTTTATAGCCGTGTTTTTTCTTCCTTTTTTAATGACATTGGTCAAGACAGATTCTTTATATGTAAGGCCAACTCAATTTTGTTTTGGTTCTTTTAATTTTCTCACAACAATTTTATGTGGAATAATTTTTTACAATAATAACGTTTTAAAAGTTTTATGCATTTACTAATGACTAAATCATGCTTCAATTTTTTACTTTGAAATTTTAATTGGATTTTGACTAGTGAAACCAACAAATTAATCCTTTCCTACTGGGGATTAGTTATTATATACTTATTTAGCAAAGGATATTTCAATAAAATGTTGAAATTGAGTTTTATTTATTGAAATTAAATCTTTGAAAAAATTACAACGGTGATTTGACAAAAAACAAAACATCACTTTTGAATAATAATGCATGGCCAAAACAATTGTTTCCAGTAACATAATGTGGTATTTTACATTTGTCTTTCTCAAATTATCAAATAAATACCAATCAAAGACAACAACACACAAGTCGTACATGTACTACAGGGTTTTGAGTGTATTTAAGGTCGACATGTGTGATCACTTGAGTAGCATCGTTAAGACAGTTACAGATAATGAAACACTCGCTAAAGTTACAGATAATGAAACACTTACTAAAGTGCAAATACATGTGGTTTTGTGATTTAACTGGGAGTTTTATAATTTGTTAATAAACCCCTTTACAGTCTGGTAAAAGCTGTATAAAAAGATCAAAAGAAAAATTTGATTTATTAATTATGGATCACACATCAAATTTCCGAAGCAGCTTCTTCTAAAATTGTATTCTGAAAATAAATTTGAAAATTTCACATCCAAAACACAATTTTTGTTATCCAAAAGAAGTCTAAAAACTAGTATGATATGTCCTGAGTAGCCTTCAGATTTCTAAGCTTTTAAATAAAGTAATTGATTTGTCAGTTATCTAGAAATGACCAGATTAATCACTGACATATTAATGGAACTGACCCTTGATTATCCAGTCTCTTGGTCAGTAAATAAATGAAGTGTATGTGCAATAATGGTAATTTTATGGCAGATAATTATGTTGGTGTTTATCAGTCTGGATATCCTCTTTTTCTTTTAAAGTATTTCTAATAGTGCATAGATGTTTTTAGCATTTTCATGTGATAGAATATTATTTGCAATAATATGATCAGATTTTTTAATTATGTTGTACAGTTGAATATAAAAAGTTATTGTAAAAAAGTGTCCAATTAATTTAATGATATATAATCCAAATAATTAACACTATTGGAAGTGAAATTTGAATCAAACTGCAAAATTTGTTAACAATTGACTACATGGATGACAGCAAACTAGTAGGCACTTGGTTAAGATCAATACCCTGACTCTTGGGTTGATATAATACAGGGCTGAAATTACAACTGATATAATGAAAAATGTCATGTAATTATCATATATTATTATACCTCTACTACCCATTTGTGCAAGATTTTTTAAAATCTTGAATTTTCCTTTGAAATAAGGAGAATCAGGGTAATGTTTTTATATTCAATTTCAGATAAAACCTTACTTAAAATTATAACTTTTTATAGTGTATACTTATATGAGTATCAATATGTAGATATATGAATTAAATAGTAATCAAAATATTTGTTGTTAGTATATATATAAATTATAATTATTTACAAATGTATCATGTTATTCCAAATCATAATTTATCATTGTTTTGTTATTTTTTGTTTTTGTTTATTTACACTTAATAAATGAGTGATGTAAACGTTGCTTCTTTGACATTAAAGTTATGACACTTAAAATTCTGTCTTTTTGTCAAGCCCTTACATTTATTGTTGGATTAATTAACATGTGCTTAAATCCACCTGTAGATATTATACATAGATTGCTATTTTGCAATCACCTTATGTCGATATGTGTGTCATTCAATCGTCCTTTTGTTTGTGCAACAAATATTCAGTCACACTTTCCTTAGGGACTACTGATTAGAATGACTTCATATTTGGTTGGCAGCTTGACAGTGATGAGATGTAACATGTTAAACCTGTCATGATACGTTGCATTATGAGTGTTGATATGCTTAGCTCAAAAACACATGCAGTTTCTTGATACATAGATATAAGGATGACAACATGTAAAATGTTTTATGAATATATAAGAGAGAGGAAAGATACCAGAGGTACATTCAAACTCATAGGTCGAAAATAAACTGACAACACCATGGCTAAAAAAGAAAAAGACAAACCGACAAACAAAAGTAAACAAAACACAACATAGAAAACTAAAGACTGAGCAACACGAATCCCACCAAAAACTGAGGGTGATCTCAGGTGCTCCGGAAGGGTAAGCAGATCCTGCTCCACAAGTGGCACCCGTCGTGTTGCTCCTGTTAGTACAAACCCGCTAATAAGTCTAATTCGGTTGGTCACATTCGGGAAAAGGGACGGGATTGTAGTTACGACATTAGGAACATATCCTCTTATCATCTGTGAAACGGATATTCGATAATGGTCAACCAACTCGTGATGGCATCCGTAAAACTTATGTAGCGATGATTTCAACTTCACCACTTGGAACTCATGGTTTGATAGCTTCCTTGTGAGCAGCAATCCTCTTTCAAGGAAACCACAGGAAATACAAGCCCTGGAATATCGTATCAACTGGGAGATATATTCTCCGTATGCAGGCGCTGCTGATATGTTGCTACATAGAAATTGAAAGTTCACAATTGGGAAGCTGAAAGCATCTCTTTTGTCGTAAAATTTTGTTTTCAACCGACCCTCATTGTCAATTTTTATACGCCCGTTTACGGGACGTATTATGGTATACCGTTGTCCGTCTGTCCGTCTGTCCGTCCGTCCGTCGTCAACATGTCGGACATTAACTCAAAAACGCTTTAACCAATTTGCATAAAACTTTGGTGAATTGTTTATATCTATTGACGTGAGCTCCTTTTCGTTTTTTATAAATTTTAGATTCTACGTTTCCGAGTTATGGGGTTTTATTCATTAAAAAAAGAGGGATTTTCCAGTTTTGGGACAATAACTCAAGAATGCTTTCACCAACTTGCAAGAAATTGTGGTGAATTGTTTATATCTATTGACATGAGCTCCCTTTGGATTTTTATATATTTTAGATTTTACGTTTCCGAGTTACAGGGTTTTATTCATAAAAAAAAAGGGGGATTTTCCAGTTTTCGGACAAAAAATCAAAAATGCTTTCAGCAGTTCTTATGAAACTTTGGTGAATTGTTTATATCTATTGATGTAAGCTCTGTTTAGAATTTTATAAATTTAACATTTTACATTTCTGAGTTATGGGGTTTTATTCATTAAAAAAAGGGGGATTTTCCAGTTTTCGGACAATAACTCAAAAATGCTGTCAGCAATTCTCATGAGACTTTGGTGAATTGTTTATATCTATTGATGTAAGCTCCCTTTACATTTTCATTAATTTCTAATATGACATTGAGAATTAATTGAACTTTAATTTTTTATAGTCTGACAACAGATTTACTAAGTATTGCACAACAGCACAGTGTATTGCACAACAGCAAGAAATCTTTAATTGAATATAAATTCAATTCATATAAACAATTTCAAGTTCTTTGACTACATTTATTCAGAAACCTATAATATGTCAAATATTTAATACAATCCAAATTCAGACCTGTATCAAGCTTGAATATTGTGTCCATTTTTGCCCCAACTGTTCAGGGTTGGACCTCTGCGGGCGTATCAAGCTGCGCTCAGCGAAGCAGTTTATTAGATGTAAGTCAAGATATGAGGCAGATTAATCTGTATCTGTTGTATCCTTTATATCAAGTTTGATGGGGTAGATGCGTTCAACATAGTCACCAAGTTTTGAATTATTTAGTGAGAGATCATCATCTTTATAGCGGAAATTAAAGTTAAAGGATACTGCTAACTTCTTTTCTTTTTTCCTAAGAAGTTCCTGTATGAAGTACAATTTATTTATTGGGAAAGAAAAAAAATGGTATAAATATAAGAAGTTACGTCGAAATGGAATCTTTTAATGAAAAGATGAGGATTAAAAATTCAAACGTTTTTTTCTCTCTACATTTTATGCTAGTACTATATATCAGTAAACTAACTTTATAAATTCTAAATCAGGATGAATTCTATATAGATATGTTTCAGATGGATATTTTGACAACGTGCAGTTTTGCTTGTCGTGTTGTTTCTCCTTTATCTATAGAGCATCCGATTAACAAGAAACCCTCCGAATCAAATGATAAACTACATGGAAAACGTATTCCCAAATATTCTGTATTTTGTAGTCCACACAGTTCTCCTTTTTCATTTAAAGCGTGTATTGCGTGATTTCTAACATCTGTTATTAATAAAATATTTCTCGGTGTCATAGCAATGTCACAAGGGATGAACGGAGTGTCAGTTGTATTGAAAATATTATTTCCCTTGTATAAAAACTTTTTTCTTCCATTCATATCCAAGCCAACTACTCGTCCATAATTGTTGTCGTTAATCACATCTACTACATATATATTATTTTCTGAATCACTTGCAATACGAACAGCATAACTGAACAACTTTCTTCCTGCATCATCATTTTCATATGTTGCTTTACGTTTGTAATCGGTATCTAAAATAACTATTTGTCTTGTGCAAAAATCCGTCACCGGATATTTAGGCCCCTGTTCTCTAAGACCAAGTAGAATTTCACCATGTTTGTTTATATGAATTGCTAGAATTATTATTGGCGAAGCATTTAGCATTGTTCTGAATTCACCAGTTGATGATGCAGCTTTTAACTCTGATCTTGGGACTGGTGCAAAAATTATTTCACTCTGTCGATTCACTGCAAAGTCCTGACACTCAATATCGAACTTTTGTAATACTTTTACGGAGTCCTTTCGTAATTTTGCTTTAATAAAATGACAGTTTAGAATATTACTGCAAGATAACAAAAGGACAACATCGTCATCACAACTGATCATTCTATGGATACTCGGTAATTCTGTTTGGTATGTGTTAAATACAGAAGATATTACCTCTGAAATATGGAAGGCTTTGAGTTGAACTGTAATATTATTCCCAATGTCTCCAATAGAAACGATTGTGTGTTTCTCTGACGACTTGAATCGAGGATGAATGTTTATTTTACAGTTATAACACAACAACAATTCACAGTCGATACATTTCCATTTGATGACAACATCATTATTGCAAAGTTGACAGGAAATCGGAGATTGGGCCATTCTTGTAGATTTCGCCATAACAGACATTTGGCAATATGGCTACCCGCCAGCTAATTTATTTACTTCCTTTTGAACATGACGCATCGAAGATATTTTTAAAACGTAGTAAATGGATAAATGTTATCAAAAATAAATTGAAGTAGTATTTGAACATGCGAAGTAAATGACAATGTATCATCCTTGGGTAGTGCTTGTTTTGTGTGAATAATTTGATTTTCGGGATCGAATTTTAAAAACGAATATCGTGGCCATGTTAGACATGCAAATAAATAATTAAAACGATTATTCTGCAAATAAAAATGCATGAAATAATTGTGTTCAAAGATGAAAATAAATTTTCAGTGGGGAACAATTGTGTACAAAGGTGAAAATAAATTTTCAGTGGAAAACAATTGTGTACAAAGATGAAAATAAATTTCTAGTGGGGAACAGGGCATGCGTAGCGCTGCAACAAATGAAAATGTGAAAAATGAATAATCAATCTGCAAAAAATCATCCTGGCCTCAGAGATTATTAAATGGTTATCTCCTTAAAAGGAGCAGACCGAATGCGGTAACCCTTATGAAAAGACATACACAATTAATGAATTGTACAGACTGACGATATAGGGATTTCATTTTCAACTATTTAGTTTTAACCATATTCATAAAGTTTACCGGTACAAAAAGGGCAAACTTTGGATGTTCTGGATCGGCCTACTTTTGTTACCTTGAAAGCGAATTTTAGGATATTTTTTTACTCGACATGATTGGAGTAAAAATACAAAATGGATCAGTTGGGAATTTATTAAAAACACACGTAATGTTTTAAAACAGTTCCAGGCAACTACAGATAATATGATATACTCAGGTACTAAGAATTTGCCAGCAGTGGTCAGTATCGACCAAATAAATAATATTTTGGTGTATCGACATTCATAAAAAAAAATGGGCGAAAGCGTATTAGGCAATTTATTTACACTATATCAATCAAAGTTTCACAATGTTTGATTTTGTTTCAAACTTTCAATGGAATCTGCGTATGAAATATACGAAGGGTAAATATAAATACCCCACGTGTTAACGTAACACAACAATGTAAATAATGAACCATAACTATGCAGCGGATACTGACCATATCCAATTAATACAAACCTTGTACTAGTCAAACAAAACAAAAAGAGTCTGATTTCAGCTTATAAACTTACTTCTTTGAAAAAAAAGAATAGTCTAAGAAAAGGATTTATTTGTTTTTAGCTTAGTGATGTTATGTTTACTTAAGATACTCCAATAGAACAATAAAACAGTCTGCTTTCTTTTCACAATGTAGTAAATTTAATCTAAAATATAATTCAGGACATAATGCGTGAAGTAAGAATATCTTGCAAGCGCAGGGAAAATGTCATTCTCATTCCAAAAGCTCTTTTCATAGACCAAGAAATAAATCCAAAAGCAAAAGCAAATCTTCCTATGGTGATTAGCACAACTAACAAAGGAATATATCTGATATTGGTTTTATTGAGAAATGTTGCCAGTGTCAACACAATGTAGTAAGAATTGTTCAATCGTATTTCTTAGAATTATG